AAAAAAAAATGGTTTGATCAAGACGAGCCATGGAATAGGAACTATCTTGTTGCCGACTATCGCAACTAAATTTCAGCGCATTCAAAGAAGAGAAGTTATACTCTAATTGCAAAGATGTGGTGAAAGTATTGAACATCTTTTTCTTTGCATTGGAGTTGATTCAACCATGGACATTGAACTTGTCACAGTTGCACTCTACAAAGTTCTAATTCCTCATGGTTTTCTATTGATAATTTGTATTTAATAAATATAGTAATTTTTTTTTTAATTTTCTTCACATTTAAGTCATATACAAGATATATACATTTTATATTGTGAAATCAATTTTTCCTAATTTCTTAAATTTCACCCATTATACATGATTAGATGACAAGTGGCTCAATGATCTCAAGATTTGGTTCATCTTAGATGAAATCTATATTTTGATGCCTCTACTATCAGCTTTCTCTTTTTATTTAATATAATTATAGGCCACATTCACTTCTTATCTAAAGAGTTCTACCTCCAACCAAAATTGATTCTTAATTGTTATAAATTTTGTTCTTCTTAATTCATATTCTTGAATACATAATATTTCTATCTTTGAAATGTAGCGTCAAAAGTAATTTTGGATCTTTTTCATTTTTGCTAGGTTGTTTAAACCTTGCATGTTTTAAGTTAGAATAGTGACTTTTATATTTCAAGATAGAAAAGATATAAAGTTTGACTTAGCTATACTATTTCAGCTTATTTTGATGGAGGTTTTTTGATACTTTTTTTTTGTATGACACATAAGAAGTGATATATACAAAACAAGTTCAATCTTTGATTATGATGTTCTATTATTTTATTGAAGATTTGAGGCTAAATTAAGGAGTTTATTAACTTGGAGGTTAATCTTTGCACCTTCAACCATTCTACAAATAATAATATGAAGTAGGCAATATGTTCTTAATTTGTATGTCTTGAGATTTTGTTTGGGTTATTAGGTGATTGAAGTATGCCTTCAAATTATGTATCATTGGTATTTTTTAGTCCCCTTTTTAGAGATTCTTGTTACACTTCAAGCATTGCATCAACTTCTTTCAACTGATATTGATAGAAAATCTTATTCCTTATTTAAATTTAAGTCCAATTATGTGGCCTTGAATCCAAATGATATATCTGACATCTATCACGACCTTTCAAGTAGCAAGTGTGTTATGAGGTTACTTCCTCTAACTTCTTCTAATTCAATGCCTTCATCTACCCAATTCATCTAGATAAATATGGATTAAGAATCTTTTTTTGTTTCTTTATTTGGAAGTGGTTGATTTGAGGTTCTCATCTTGATATACTTACTTGATGATTTGATAATTGTGTTGTAGAGGCCTTTGATAATAGCTTCACCTACTAATTCTAACATTTTCTACTTTAGTGGAGTTCATTCTTTGATACCACCTCAAGAGTCAAGGTTTGTCCATTGGTCTATTGTTTCTTGAATTTGGTTTCTCTAATTGGATGTTGCTACTCGTTTTTGTAATTTGTCATTAATTGATACACTTGCTACAAGCTTTTTTGAATTTATTTATATCCAAAAATTCATTGATTTTGGGCAATGACTTTCAATTTTATTTATTTATTTATTTATTTATTTATTTAGACTTTGCGATGTTGTCCATTCCAAGTTTTTTTATATTTGATATTTGTTGTTTACCATAACTATCTTCTTTTCATTATTTTGATCTTTACTTTGGCTATTGTCCCTCACACCTTTGCTAAGGCTAGTAGTTGATTTGATAGTTAGTGGCTTGGAAAGACATTTTGCTATCCCTTGTATGGAAGAAGGTAGGTTGATCTCTCCTTGCTCCATCATTGATACATACTTACTTTCTTCTACATCTAGCCCTTTTTTTAAGCAAGATTGATTATGGTTTTTTTTTGCCCTACAATGGATTGTTACTCCCTCATTTCTTCTTGTATTATGTATTGATGAATAATCCCTAATTAAATGTAATATAAATAAGTAATATCTAAACTTAATCAAGAGATTATTATAATCAACTTGGATGAAAGTGGTACTTGCCATCATGAAATTAAATGCTTCCATAATTCAATAATAAGGATTACTATTTGTCAAGGCAATGCAATTTTTTTGATTTTTGCCATATCAATTATTTTTGTCACTACCTAATACAATTTTAGAACTCTTTGCAATAGCATGGACACTACTCAGTAATTTATTTGGTATAGTGTCGTATTGTGGTTCGGCTACCATGTGAAAATAATGTAATTATGTATTTAATGTATAATTTACTTAACAGTATGGTGAGAGCCATGTTAGTGGATTTTAGTTGGTTGTAGAATGTCATTAAATTATTACTTTAAAAGGAGGTTGTTTAAAAGGATTACTATTAGAATTTATATAACTTTATTTTCTTTTGATAGTAGCTTTTGAGATTGATTTTATTGGTAGTAATTTTAAATATTTAGAGTCACTTTTATTAGACATTGTTGACCCTTGAAGTCTTATTTTGATTCTTTAATTTGATGTTTAGGACATATATTGAGTAAATCTTATAAAGAAAATAGTTGGAATAAAATTTTGGTAGTAAAAAGAGAATTTAGGGCATCCATATAGATGAATGGAGATGAATGATGAAAATCTCCATTCCTATTGGTCAAAAAACATGACCAATGGGCTTTGAGGAGGCTATCCGAGGTCATATTAGAGATTAAGATTAGTTTTTCGGAGCCATTCGAGCTTTGAAGGCTGAGGTCAGCAAATTTAGATTTTTGGCTATGGTTTTGGTACAAATCTTGTATGATTTGGAATTTATATGAAGGAGATATAGGTGTTCAAAGTTAAGGTGTTGATTTGGAAGCTACTATCATTGTTTTTGACATAACGCACGTGCACAAATGGTAATTGAGGATCAATGTCGGAGTATAGAGAATTTGCCTCAAGAAAATGTTGGACTTCTGGCTGTCACTAATCATTCGATCAAGCTTCAAAATAAGGGAAGCCCTAAATTTATATATAAATTTTCCCTTTTGAGCAATTACACCAAATACACAAGCCTCAAGTAACCAACAACACCCAAAATATGATAAAATCCTCTAAAACCTTGTATATCCTTATGTAGAAATTTTCCTGAACTTCAATAACTTATATCTCCTAATCCGACCGTCCAAACAAACTCAAATTTTACATGAGGTACTGATATATTCTTATTAACTTTTACAACAAATTTCAATTGCAAATTCATGGCGGATCTTGAGATAACTTGAAAATCCTAATAGTCACTTCAAACCCTTGTCTTTATATACCCGGATGCAATTTTTTTTATATCTCACAAAATATAAGCTAAAATGCCACGAAATTTATATGTATAGCTTTTTAACACAAAATGGTACATTTTCCAAAAAAGTTTGAGCCAAAAATTTGTTTGAAAACTCAAGTTATGGCTCCAACCATTACTATAAATAAAACCACTCACTTACTGCCTTTGATTTGGAAGTGCTGCCTTCAACTCCTTATAACTCCTTTACATGAACTCCAAAAGCAATAATTCTTTCATTAAAGATGTAGGCCTTAAAATCGCCGTTCTATTTGCACCTTCCGATATTCAAAAGCTGCCGTACAACTCCTCGTATCCTCAAAAGAGTAACAATATGTTTTTAATTAACACGTCAATTTCAAATGGCTATAACTTCTTCATCCTAACTCCCAATCCTCTAATTTTTATACATAAATTGTACTCCAAATCCTAAACTTTACAACCTTAGCTTCTAATCTCCAAATGTCTTCTTTGAAGTTGCTGAAACCCTTGTTAAGGTCGTGGGCAGCCTCCTCAAAGCCCATTGGGCATGGTATTCGACCAACACAGATGAAGTTCTTCATTCCTTGCCTTCATCCAACCATGCCTTGCTTTCATCCCTCCCAATTAGCCTCCTAATAGTTTAGATTTTCATCCTTAGGCTTCCACTTTCTCCCAAGGCTTCATATTAAACATTTAGGTCTTCTATTTTTTTTTAATGTCAAAATCAAAACAAGTAAAGAAACAAAGTAAAGTTTCTTATACCAACTCCTTTTAATTTAATCTATTAGCCACTCTAACACACATCTAGATTTATTAACATATAATATGTTCAACTAATTTTTACATATTGTAAGCATTTATAGTATGACAGCAGTTGATTTTTTTGTGATAAAAATTAAGAGTAAATTCTACCTACCCTATAAATTTGAGACAAACTAAATAGTTAGATCAAGAGTTATGAATTTCTAAAGTTCAAGAAGAGAAAATGCTTCGCGGAAAAAATATGTTTTGAAGGGATTTTGTTATATTTTGAATTTTATGCAAATTAAAGGAGTTTTGGAAGCTAAGACAAAATTCATATAAAAGTTTAAGCTAAACTCTCTATAGCTAGATACCTAGTGTATTCCCAAATAACAAATCACAATATATGACAATGGTCTTTAGTATTATTCATGTCATTTTTTTTATTCTAATAAGACAACTTGAGTTAAACCTCGCCATCTAGGGCGTGGGCCATGCGAGTCATGAGTACCTCAGCGTATGATACCATCTTCGATTATTGGTTGTATAGAACTTACATTACCATGGTCAGTTATTTCATCAAAGTGCTCCCACGTGTAAACCCTAATGCACGGCGATGTCTTAGTACAGTGACTCATTTTGCTACGAGTTTGTTTAAGGTGATATTGACAGAATGGAGTTGTAGGTCCTTCACTACACTGTAATTGGACTATCTCTAATCCAAGGACTCGTGAGTAGTGAGTTCGTTAGCTGGCGGTGGTGGAGGGAGGGACATGAAGGCTCGATCCCCCAGCTCCGCCAGAACCGCGCGGCAGCGGCAGAAACGTGGGTCCGGAGCTATTTGGGGGGGGGGAGGGGAGCTCCAGTTTCCCATCCTTTTCCGACGTCCCCCTTGACTAACGGTACTCGTGCTGCACCAAGTCGTCGCTTGGCCCCCCAACCCCGTCCCGGCTCCTCCGGCTTTCCGCATCCACTGCAAGAAGTGGGCTCATGCGTCCGGGGCCTCTGCTTTTGTGCAGCTCCTCAACCCTCTGCGTTGGGGCGCTATGGCTTCACCAGGCCGTGGGGTGAGAAGACGTTCAGTTCTCGCGCAGTTCTCGATTGGAGTCCGAGTACGCTGTTTCGAACGTACGAGCGACGTGTGCCCCTGTGAATTAGACGCGGGGATTTGAAAAGGAGATGTGCGCTTCGGGGATTTGAATCTGAGGCTCGTGCACCGAGGGTTGGAATGCTATCATGCAGCCGGCGGGACTGAGACCGACTCGTTTCCTTGTAGAATTCCTTTATTTGTGCTGGGAATTATCCGTAGATAGCGATGGGTTGGGAGCTCGCCACTTCACGCCTCGTGGCCTGCTGTGTCTTGCTCGGAATCGTCTAAATGCTGCGTGTAATGTCGCTTGAAGTGCAGTTATCTCGCGCTTGGAGAGATTTTACAACACCGCGGTGGTCGATGCAGTTGGTAAAGAGCTCATCGCAGTGAGCACGGTTGCGAAAAGTGCTTGGAATGCAAGTTTGCGAGGTCTCATGTCCGCGCGTCGTAATTTGTGTTGTTGGAGCATTTAAGTTTCTGCACCCCTGCTTCTTCTTCTTCGTCCTCCTTCTCCCGATACTTGTCCATGGAGACGTATCCGTGAGCATGATTTTGGCATGGTATTATTTCGTGCATGGCGGGATATGGAGTTTTTAGTTTAACAGAAAGTGGAGTGGCATTGTCGCCACGAAGCGACTCTATTCACCTCTTGTGTGGAATTGTGGGAGGTGTGAAGGGATCTCTTTCAATTTTGCACCCCAAGTCATGCTTTCGAAATTGGATAGTGAGTTTTCCAACCTTGTTAAACTCATCTGCACTTGCAAACGGAATCGCAATGCTTCTTGGAAATGACCCGCAAAAGGTAGATCTAGATGATGACATTTTTTCCAATTTGACTGTAAGGTGCTTTTCGTCGAAGTATGCTTGGTTTTAAAGCAAGTGTAGGGCTTGTGAGCAGGCAGGCAGGCAGGTCAGTCACCCTTGCGGATGGCTTTAGCTAACCTTGGGGTGTCGGAGAGCCATTGTCCGCCATCGGTCCCGCTCACACTAGTGTTTTCAAAATGTCAAGTAATTTATAAGCGTTTCTCGGGTCATTAAAAGTTAGCTGCAATATGATGCAACGAATTTTGTCAAGCTCCGTTCAAATAATTTTGTCACAATCTGGAATTGATCTGAGCATCATTTCTAAGTTCCCGGTCCGATCTATGCTGAATTTCCTTTTGCGATCCTGTTGTATGCATGCACCGACAAAGGGTTTGACGCGGCGTGGTGCAGGATTGACTGTGTCGCTTGCGTGCATGTTTGGCGATGTAGACGAAGCTGCTATGGAAGCCAATACTTGTAGCAAATCCTACCGACACCTAAATTTGAGATCATTAATGCGAGCTGAGGATGACAGCACGTTCAGTGACGTTTTACTATAGGGTTATCGTATATGCGTCAGCATTCAGGTCCAACTTAATGCAGTTGCATGCGAGTCGTGTATGGTATTAGATTTAGTTTGAGAATTGTAGAAGCCGAGAGTTTGGGTTTGGTGTTAGACGCGCATCGTGCAAAATTCTTAAATAATCTGCTTGTGAGACACGTTTGTCAAGGTTGACGGTTTGAGAAATTTGTAGTGCGATGGCTGTGCAATCGGTTGGACAGCTTAGTCACAGAATTGCAATGCTGGCGGTAGCAGCGCAAGGAGTTATGAATACGAAAGACCTCCCTACACACGTTGTTCTGGTGGATTTTGCGAATACAATGGGAGATCTTGCAATTTCTTTAAAGGAATTGCAGAAAGATCTAGAGGTGACCTCTTTGTTTCATTGTATAGTACTCAGGTGTTCTTATCAATCTTGTTTTGAAGTGAGATCTAAACCCTTTGTCAGCAAATAAATGGATGTGGAGTATGTGGCATCTATGAACCCTTGCTTGTGATTTTCGATAAGTCATGACCGAAAACGAATGAATGAACAAATGAATGTACTCTAGGATTTTACGCATGATCATCACGAATCTGAATTTGTTGCTGTCATTGGTTGTAGATTCACTTCCAAGCGGAACCCATTCAGTTTCAGCAGCACGACATAGAGGCTGAGATGACGGTTGTGGAGCAGCTGGTGATGGCTCATAAAGCACAAAGCCAGCTGTCCTCTCTCTTGAGCTGTCCATTTCTCCTTACGAAGTTGCAAAATTTTAGAGGAAATTTGAGTAGGGGCCTTGAATGCATTCTTCCAGATACTTGCAGCGAATTGGTCAAATTGCAGATATCTCGAACGCAGCAACAGCTGAAAGACGGCCCTCCCAAGCTAGGGCTGAAAGAACAAGCTGTGATAGACTTATTAGGCCAGATCACTGAGACTTCTACGCCTCTAAAGTGTAAGGAGCTCGTGGAAAGTGTTGCAGATTATTTGGATGTTGTCCCTGGGGATTCCACATTTGCTGATCTACTTGAAAACACAAAGAAGGACATTTCGAAGGTTGATGTGTGCGACAGCGGTACATTTTCAACGTACTTGGAGAACTGCATCAAGGTGTTGGAGAAGGGTTTAAATTTTCAGCAGGAGCCAGCTGAAGGCAACAACGGTGCTCTTTTAAATTTATTATCGCCCCCAAGCAGTCATCGCACTATGAGAGAAGTTGTTGCTCCCTCGTCGCCGCTCTCTTCTTTCATTTGTCCAATCACTAAGCAGATCATGAATGACCCCGTACAGATTGCCTCCGGCCAGACTTACGAGCGGGCTGCTATTGAACAATGGTTCAAAGATGGCAAGACCACGTGCCCACTCGGGAAGAAGCTGAAAAACACTAAGATGATGTCGAATTTCGCGCTAAAGCAGTCAATTGCCGAGTGGCGAGAGAGAAACTATAATATTCGTCTGGACAATGCTGAATTTCGGCTAAGGTCGTTTCAGCCCATGGAGCAAATGCGCGGTGCACGAGACATCAAGTTGCTTTGTGAGGAGGATGGAATCAACAAATATGGTATTGCGTCCAGAAAGATGATCCCTCTTTTGATTCAGTTGATTGAGACTACCGATAGTCCCACGAACCTGCGAGAGCTCTGCTTCGATGCATTGACTGCTCTTGCTCTGGATCACCAAGAAAATCAGGTGTACGTTATGCTAACGAATCCCTAAAAGATTGTAGAATCCTCTTTCATGGTTTTTTAAAGAGATGAATCCTATTGTGCAACTTAGTGTCTAACTCGTGGATGTACATCTTGTGAATGTGCAGGAGACTCTAGTGTTTGAGGGGTTAATTGACTTGTTGGTACGTAGTCTTCGAAATTACAATGAAGCGGAACCGGCTATCAACTTGTTAAAAGTGTTGTCAGGTAATCCCAAAGCAGCAGAAATGATCAGCCGGACGCCCAATGCAGTTCTACTGCTTGTTACTTTCCTGGGGCACAAGAATGAGAACCTAGTCATCTCCACGAAGGGGATTCTGGTGAACCTACCGACCACTGATGAGAATGTTGTGATCATGGCGGAAGCAAACCTCATGAAACCCTTGGTCGTGCGGCTAGTTGAAGGTAATTACTCCACAGAAATCCCATATTTGACCACCTCTTGATCGTCTGATTCTCGTGTGTAACGATTTGGATTAAACTTCTTCAAGAACTGCTAAGATCACCTAGTTTTTGTGGTCGTGTACACTACAAGTGATTATGTCGTTTTGTATGGTATGAAGATGATCATGGGCCTTTGTATGCAGGAGAAAGAGAATCAAAGATTCTGATGGCAAGGACTCTGGCTCGGTTAGAGCACATGCCTGATAGTAGCAGGAGCTTGGCTAGCTCTCGTGACGCTATCAAGACATTGATCAACATGGCAAACTCTGAGGACGAGGAAGAAGTCGATGCTGCAATTCTTGCCCTTAAGAATCTTTCTACTGCTCCCACTGCTGGTGTCGTGATTGCTGACTGCATAGGACTGGAGGTACCATTCACAATGCATAAATTTGAGAATCTTATCTGCTTTTCATTGGTAAAGGGAGGGAAAGAGTTGCGCACACTCGAAAAAAATGAACGAATCCTCGAGAGAAATCTACATCATGTACAGTTTTAAAAATTGAGTTTTGTTACCCTTCAGCTGATTAATTGAGTAATTTGTGGGAATTCTCGTGTCACAGGTTTTGATTAGGTTGCTTAGCTCCAAAAAGATATCAGTGGTGACGAAAGTCGGCGCCTCTCATATTATAGCTAATGTACTGGTCGCCATTGGTAACCAGTGGGTACGAAGTGAAGATATGGTTGCCGACCTCGACAACTTCGTTGAAACTTTCTTTCTTTTAATATCAAGTGTCTCCACACCACTGGCAGCACAATCTCACTTGCTCCAAGGTCTTCTGGGTCTCGTAGAAGGGAAACACACAGGTCAAGTTGTCAAAGATATAATGATAAGAAGAAACGCTCTGTCGGGTTTGCTTTCCCATTTTAGGAAAAAAGAGCTAGAAGCAAGGCGAGATTCGTTGAAGCTGTTCGCATCTTTATCGAGGAAGCATGGGGCGGAGGCGTGGTCGGCGGTGCGAATCCACTCCGGAACTCTGCAGCTCCTAGTAGGAGTGTTGAAGACAGAAGACATCTCAGAGCCTGAAAAGTTGGCCGCTGCAAGAATAATTTCTCATTTTCCGGCAGAAGATCATTCACTGACACGGACATTGCAGACTCTAAATATTGTTCCTGTCTTCGTCAATTTTTTGTCCTCCCCAAACCAGTCCATGCAAGAGGCGTCTCTAGTTGCTCTTGTTCGTTTCACCTTCCCTGAGTTTCCAGACCTCCAGAAACAATTAGCAGAGATGGGGGTGATCCCAGTTTTGGTGACGCTCCTCGACTCCCGACGACCACGGGTGAAGATCAGTGCTGCCCATGCACTAGCCAACTTCTCCAAAAGTACTCCACGTTTGGTGAAGCCAATTGCATCCAAGAAGTGGTGGCAATGCTTCACTCCGCCGCAGGAGTCCTGTAAATTACATGCGGGCGTGTGCACCATTGAAACCACGTACTGTTTAATTGTGGCAGAGGCCATCCATCCGCTTCTCAGTATTGTTCGCGAAGACGATGGGAAGATTACAGAGGTGGCCTTAGAAGCATTGTATACTTTGCTGGATAACGAACACTGGGAGCGAGGATGCCATACGATTAATGAAGCGAACGGGATCTCGATTATTCTTCAGAATATGCCCAAGTGTACAGCACGGGCACAAGAGATCTCTATTAATATGTGCGAGAAGTTTTTTCGAATACCCGCGTATCAAGCATCTTTTGGGCCGCCTTCTCAGATGCACATCATCACCATTGCGCAGCAGGCATCTCCTAGTACGAGAGATGTTGCTGGCAGAATTCTCCGGCAACTTGACCTCCTACAGACCCAATCACATTACTGGATCAGCAGCACCTCCAAATAGTTCCACAAGGAGCTTTCTGAACTTGTTGGGAGTAGATGAATTAGTCTTCACCAAAGCTCTTTTAATGTATCATACTAAGCGTCTCTCTGAGGAGACAGAATTAAGGTATTCACACGCGTCGTATCATTTCTGCTTACCATAGGCTGATGCAGCTTCTTAATATTGTAACACTCTAGACAGTGTTATCTTTGTGTTACTGCTTAAAGTTTTTATGTAGACTACACTTAGGCTTAGATTAAATAGTGCGAAAGAAGAATACCTTGGCATCCTTGGGGTTGACTCTGGCCACATCTGTTTGCTGTAGGCATGGTGCTCTTACAAAGCAGCAACACAAGAGAAGACAAGACAGACTGGAAAATGGGAGGATCCTGCATGGTGGGTAGTTCATCTTTTAATTATGAAACAGGAAAGGCATGGCTAATTTATAGGATAGGTGTGCTCGAGTACCTACGCCATCAATCAGATTTCAAGAGACTGGCTTGTGAATTGGAATAAGTGTACAGACATCCATTGCCAGCGAGCATTGCAACTAATGAATAGCGATCCCGAAGAGATGGCAAGTCCAGGGATGGAATATCCCAAACTACGATGATGGATCTGCAGTGACGCAACAGATTGAAAAAGAATAAAAGATGTACATATATATATATATATATATACGAAAAAAAGGGAAAAAAGAAAAAAACGATGTTCAAATCAGTTGATGGAATATGAACGAGGTTACATTCTCAATTGGTCATGATATCTGAAGATCAACTTCTGACGTCCCTACGATTTCATGGTGGCTTCAATATACATACATATATGTGTATATATTTCCTGCCTTGATGGATGCAATTGTACATGCTCCTATAAATAATAATTTTTTTTGGAGTGAAAGATCTTTCCAAAGTAAAACAATTTTACTGCATTTCATTTTTTATTTATTTATGATATATCTATTTTTAAAATCCTAACTAGAGTATTTTCTTAATCATTTATCAACTAGAGTATTGACTAGACATTATTTAAAGTAATATTTATTTAAAGTAAAAAATGACTGTAGCAATCAGTTTTTATACTATATGGCAAGAATTTTTGTTAGAAGCATATACAAAAATATAATAGTTATAATATGTAGGATCTTATTCAGTCCTCTAAATCCTACATAAACTCTAATTAATATTCATACTTAATAAGAATACTTTTTGTAAATAAAACATTAATGCTTTAATTCATAAGAATTAGTATTAAAAGAATGGATGTATAAAAAGTGAAGAGTAGGTATCACATTCATTTACAGTATTTCTATATATTATATGTATATATAAGAAAATATTAAAATGACCCATCTATTTACTAAATTGACTTATCCTATTGTAACCATTATCAGAAAAATAGATCATCTCCAAAAACTATCATTATTATCATGGCCCTTATTTCCACCTTCTTCATTCCCAGCCTTCTTCATCTTGACCCCTTCTTCTTTTCCCTATCCCCTTCCCCTATTCCTAGCTTTCATCTCAATCTGCCTCGTTTCTTCTTGTTCTTCACAATAGGATGGGTCAATTCAGTAAATGAGTGGGTTATTTTAATACTTTGCTCTCACATTAACAAGAGATTTGGTACCATGTGTGCCATCAATGACAACTATCTATACAATTGTCAATGTACCACTTATAGATGTCAAGAAAAACAAGCAACTATTTGCACAACCATCAAGGACAACAAGCAACTATTTGAGTGATTGTTATTAAGTTGTAAAACAATTTCTATGTGAAAGGATATAGAAAGACTAATAATCTAAAAGGGCTTTGTTAAAAATATAGTAGAAAATTACTTTAGAAATCATAGTTGAAATTTTACTAATAGTGCATTTTTGTTAAAATGAATTCTGTTTACTTTGTAGGACCATAAATAAGGCATGATAAGATAGATTAGATATTAAGAAATTATAGACATATTTAGGTGAAAGCAAAGGATAATTTCTTGTAAAATTTACCAAAGAAAAGCTTAAGTTGATATCTAAGTTAAATAAAATCTTAAGATGCAAAACCATCTATCTATAATATTTGTAAATTTCTTTGATTGATTAAAAATAAAAAACTTAGAAAACAAACATAAGAAGGATTCTATGAATATTAGTTTTTAGAAATTTGAATTTTTAATGAATTTGTAAGAGCTATGCAATCATATTTGGATTTTGGTCGCTCTATTTTTTAGAGAAATAAAATAGAGTTCAAAATTTAGAATTTTTTTGAGTTTTATAACACATGAAGATATGAATTTTTTGGTTTGTGAATGTTATTGTCCTACATGTGTGGCATAAATTTAGGCTTATTCATACCTATATCTATTTCAAAACTTACAAAATTTGAAATAGAACATAAAGATTTAAATTGCCTACATTTATTATATAGATTTGAACTAAACTATTACATGGATTAGAATTGAATAAATTATTTTGTGGATTAAAACAAAGTTTTAATATTGATAAAATTAAACAACTTATTGTATAGATTAGAATTGAAATACTCTTGTGTAGATCAAAAGTAAATAACTAGTTGTATAAAGTAGAACTAAACAAATTGTTGTTTGAATCAAAACTAAATGACTTATGTGAATTAAAATTGAAAAACTTATTGTGTGGATCAAAAGTAAATAGCTTATTGTGTAGATTGTAATTGAACATGTTATGTAGACTAAAATTAAATTTTTATATGGATTAGAATTTAACAACTTGTTATGAGTATCCTTACTAAAGAGGTTGTTGTATGGATTGGAATCAAATTTTAGTTCCAATAAAAGTAAAAATTATATTATACCAATAATGGATTAATTTAAGATTTATATAGATTGATTTATTATCTATCTGAAATAATTAATAATGTTTTTTTAAATTATTTTAAATAAATATAAAGAAATAAGGAATAGACTTCAAGAAACTTTATATTTTATTATAAAATTCTTAACTTAGTAAAATAATTAATAAAAAATTATGTTATTTTGACTCTCAATTTAAAAAATTAGATGATAAAAAATTAGTTAATAATGTTGAAAGATTTTTATTTTGAAACGAAATATTAAAATTTTAGAAATCAAAATTAAAATTTAACTTTTAAAAATTAATTTATAATATTATTTTAGATAAAAAATATTATCAATATGACTTATTTCTAAAAATAATCAAGATACTTCCATAAAAGTTAAACTATTTTATGCTATTTTATTTATTTTTAAGTTATTGGCAATAAGATCCAATAGTCTATACATTATTCTTAAATTTCCAAAGCATCTTTATGGTATTATTAATACTTTTAAATAAGAAGAAGATAAAATTTGTGCCAAAAAATAAAATTCTTATTTGTAATAATAATTGAAAATAAAAAATAAATATCTTTTATTTTTGATTTTAAAAATGACTTAAACTATCCAATTTTTAATTATAAGTAAAACATTAGTAATTCTCAAAGTGATCAGAAATAAATAAAACATAACATTAGTTATTTTTAGATTTTTTTTGAAATACATTATTTTGCAAGAAATTGTTAAAATGAGGAAATCAAAGAATCTAATGATCTTTATAAAAAATATAAATTTTTGTAGATACTTGCTAAAATTAATTTTTTTTGTAGATTTTATTTTCAAAATATCAAATAAATATTAGTAATATTTTATGTCTAAGAGGTTGAAAACTTACATGGAAAGAAAGAATAAAAAAAGGAGATGATTAAAAATATTAATAATTCAAGTTTATTTATTTTTTGTAAAAATTTCGTACTAAAATAATTATTTTTTTATTTTGAATTTTTTTATTAATTTATAATATTAAAATTCATACAAAGAAATAATGCAATAATGAGCTTATAAATTTAGTTACTATACACGTGCCATAAGGTAGTCTAACTAATGCTTTTCAAATGTACCATAGAATTTTCCAATCTCATTTTATGTCTTTAATAGAATTATTTTTATTTTAGTAAAATTTGTAAAAGAATTTTAGCATAATTCAAGAAAGATTTTTCAATCATTTTAAATGATTATTTAAATTATTAAAAAGCTTAGTCTAAAATTTATTATAAATTTATTTTAAAACAACTAGGTGCAACAAAAAAAATCTAAGGAATTCAAATGTAATATAAAAAGGTCATTTCTTAATTTCATTTTTGTCTTTGAGGCTAAAGTTTTAAAGATATTTAGTACCTTTGGTGTACATATTAGTAGTGTTTTTACATAAAACTATAGAATAATATGTATATATATATAATTATTGTATATAGATTAATTTTTTGTGGTAATTTTGTAATTTGACTCTAAATATCTTATATGATTGTATGTATGCAGTTTTTTTGTATAAATTCTTTAAAAATTAAAAAAAAATAATTTTTTTTTTAGATATAAAAATGAACCATAAAATACCAAAATTCTTTAGTTAAAACACTTAAATTTGTATTAAATTTATGATTTGGTTAAAACACTTAAATTGTAAAATTTCAAAGAATTTAAGTATATTAATGTTGAGAAACATTTCTATGCATATTTTGTTACTTGGAGTTTAAAATAAAATTTAAATTACACCCTGAATTTTTTTTTGAATAAAAACTATAAAAAATATGGTTTTCAATATTGTAAAAAGCATAGGCATGCAAAATTAAATCGTTGTGTATCAAAAAAATTATCTATACACATATAAGCAATAATTCAATAATGCTTCTTAACAATAAAAAATAAACCACCAATACACTTTATTTACAATTCAGTATCAAATTCAAATAGAATATTTTTCACACAACATTTGATATCATCTAACTACTTTTGAAACAACGCCCTAAAAAATACAAAATTTAATCACCAAAATCCTTATATATATATATATATATATATATATATATATTCACACATATATAAATAAATTGATGCATCTAAATAGAAAAAGCACCACATACAGAACACATGAATAAAAAGTATATAAATCCAAATTAGAAAGTTATTATATTTGAGCAGTGGAAATCAGCATCATCATCAAGCACAGAAACAGTTCCTGTGGAGTTGAGTCAATTCCTCCACTTCAGAAACACCTCATGTAAGCACTCGTGTACAAACTCAAGTTGACAAAGCACAAAATAAAGAAAAGAAAAAGAAAAGAAAAAGAAAAACAGGATCTGAGTCTAAGAGAGACCAATATTCACATCCACTGTGAACCTCCTCACAGTGTCACCAGCACATACAAAACCCATTCTCTTACATACAAAACCCCTCATTCTTATTCCATTATTTTCCCCTTTTTTACAATATATATATATATGTCACATTTTGCACACACTTCTAACAAGAAGACTGTCACCGTTGGAATTCACAAACATAGAGAGAATGTGGCTATTCTGCACTAATAAAGAGTATCTTTTTACCCATCTTTATAGCTACTAAAACAGTAGCACATCTGTAGCGCTCAAGATGTTCACCGCTGCCGCCGTTACTAGGCGGGTGGATTAACGTTACCTGTTGCAGACTTACACACAGAACAGCAAGGTGGGGATCACATAGATCCTCAGCTGTTAAAATGCAGATCCAGTAGGACTGCAAATCCACAAGCCACAGGTCCTGTTGGGTCAGCCTTGCTCCTGCGATCACCTCATCTGCCGTTAGTTAGCAAAAAACTGAACAAACTGTACACTTAGATGTGTATCTATTAGCTCTGGAAACAGAAGCATGCGTCCCGGTGGTTTTTGGGTGCAGTCCCTGCGGCCGCTGTCAGGAGAGCGCCACAGATTGTTGTGCTGTGATGGCTCCATGGTGTGCTTGTGGGAGCGCGTTCAGGAGGATGGACGCCAGCCCTTGCCCCCGAACTCTCCCACCACCTCCGGTGGCGTGGTTGCCGCTGTTGTGGCCGGGCCATTGAAGCTGCTATAGCCTTGCGTGTCCGTGAAAGCTTGCATCTTGAAACTGCCTTCGTCTTTTGACGGCGCTTGGTGTGAAGATCAGCGAGCGAGTCGGAGAATGTCGACGGTTGAGGCGAGTTGTCGACGACTGCGTGCTTGCAAGTGATTAATTCTGGAAAAGCTTGGACAAACGAGAGAGTCGAGTGTGTGTGTGTGTGAGAGAAAGAGCGAGCTTGTGGCGAGAGTGAGACAGAGAGCAATAGAGAGAGACGATAGAATACAAAATGAGTAGACTGACACTTCTCAGTAAGCCATGACACACAACTGAATCCACAGACAAGCAGTGCATCCACGGTACGTCTTATACTTCGAAGAAGGCCTACTAAGCTTGAGGGTGAAGCAACCCAGAGCCATTCTGCCTGTGAGTTTGTGCCGAGAGTGCCGCCAATGCCGACACAGAGAACGACAACAGAAAGTAAAGTTTACATGATAATATTTCTTCGTAGCGTAGGTTAATCTGTGGGAGGCCAATGCGATGGCTAAAGGTTTTTGCTAATCAATCCAAGCAAACCATGGTACGTCTCGTTGGGGGTTGCTAAAAGATGAGGCGGCTCGCGTTATCAACCAAAACCATGGAACTGAACTAGAATCACAGCAGGGAGTAGATCTCCGCCGCATGAAAATTCAACCACACTGGGCCAGGGGGAGATCAGGTCGTGGGCGGGGCAGGCGAGACCTACCTAGACAGCAAAAATTGGATTCATCACCGCAGGCAGTGTCACTTTCCTGCCATTTCAGGTCCATCCCCCATGATTTGTAAACCCATGAGCTGTGTTCGAGAAACCAAGGGGCTACCTAATCTGTCTTGGAATGTTCAAGGAATCGTGGCACTGATTATGCCCGATAAGAGAATCAATGAAACGAAAGTTTCTCCAACACAATGCAGCAGTTGGGTAACAGAACTTCGACCCGGAGCTGTTGACGAGTAAGATCACTCTGCCACAGCCTTCCATGCATAATATACGCTTCATTCTACTCCCCAATCCACTCCCCATTCCACTCAACATCTCCCAGCAGCAGTGCCGGCCAAGTGAGCTTCTTCCAGCTCGAAGCTTGTGCTCCGCAAAGCTGCACATCCCTATGTCGTAGCTCTTGAATGGGTCGCGCCATTGTGCTAGGCTTTTTCCCATGCAGGGGGTCTAGTTCCATGGCAGCACGTGTTGCCGTTACTAGTGGCGAAGCTCCAGATATTGGTAAGAGTCTTGACCTGGTCCTCCCTTCAAAAGCAGTTGTTGACCCCTCGACGCTGCTTTGCCGATGAGCATGAGCTATCCTACCAACGCAGCTAAGCTCAACTCAGCTCAGCTCTAAACAAAACTCCACTAGATAAATGGTTGTACTGCACCACTATTTCCATGCCCGAGTCCCTGCAAAAACCAACTTGTACAAGGTGGCCCAACAACTCCATGCTCCTCAACAACAGTCAGCAATTCACCGTCATTCACGCTCCGCTTCACACACTGTCCTCTCTACCCACAACACAGTAATACAAAGTGATAACAATGTGGTACAAACTTGTAGCCAGTGATGCTGTTTTTTTTTTTTTTTTTTTTTTTTTAAACACACTTGCAGTATTCTTGTCTCCACTCTCTTTCTCAAAAAGCATGGTCTACTTCGCACCACCCTTCGTTTAACTATGCCTGTTAACTAAGCTTGTGATGTGCTCTGTTTTGCTCTAGTGCACCTTCGCTTTTTCTTTATTTGCACATTTTGAGGCTGGTTTTTGTGGGTTTGAGATTGCTCTTGTAGGATGTATTCTGTGTTGTGGTATTGAAACTTGCTACCTTGTTATGATGAGTAATGGCCATTGAGAATGAGTTCTCTTAGGATACATTATTGGTTACATTATTGACTTTTCTTTTATTTAATAACATGAAGATGTAACTTTTAAGGTTAATGATTAATTACTTCGAAGAATTCCAAGTGATGTGGTGTAAATAACATTTGTAGAGGTTTCTCATGGAGTTTTTTTTTTTTTTTTTTTTTTTTTAAATTAATTTAATGTTCTTCAAAGTAGTACGTTTTAAAATTGATTATTTAAAAAATATCCTTGAGATAAATACATCTTGAAAATTTTGAATTAGAAAATTTTTGCCAAAAAAATATTATTGATAATTAAAAATTGCAAGATGTAATGAATAGATTAAATAAAACTAAAATCGTATCAATACTAAAAAGATAGAAAGGTTATGAAATTTTTAAAAAGCATTCTAAGATATAAAAGATAGTTAAAAAAAATATATATATATATATATATATATATTAATAATATATATTTGAAAGATGCCAAAACTAATAGAGAATATATAGAAAAGATAATTTTTCGCCTTTGCATTTGTACTGTAATGATGTTGTCTAATATAGCTTAAGATGATTAAAGTTGTATGCTACAATCATTTATAATCTTATTTTAAATCTTCCTAGACTTGCAAAGTTTTTCAATCCCAAAAAGCTAGTTGTGCAAGATTTTGACTTTATTGAGTCTTTATGGCAGTCTAATAATATAATTTAAAATGCTATACTAATAAAACAACATATGTCTATAAGTAGTAGTATACCTTTTTAAGTATACAATGTTATTCTATAAATACTTACCAATGAATATTAATATGTTAGCTTAAAATAACTTCAATTTTTTATATATATTTTAAGATATTTATTAGATTTTAAAAACAAGAGTGCATCTTTATTTTTATAAATTTAAGTTTAAAATTTGATTTGTAAAAAATTATTTAGAAGTTCAATTCCTACTGTGATTACACTAAGATAAGAATGAGCATTAGAGGGATTAGACTATAATTTGGAATAATTTTTTTATAATTAAAATATATATATACATATAAATAAAATACTCTTATTTTTAAAAAATTATTTAATCAAAATTTTATGCAGACATTATTATTTAAATATTTTATTTTTACAAATAAATATAGAAAATTATGAATTTTTTAATTTTAATAAAATTATTTTATCATTACAAACTTTATAATATAGATTTAAGTTGTATAGATTTTGATATAACATCTTCAAATCTTTTACAAGTATACATACATATATTTTTTAAATTAATATAGAATCAAGATTGCTAGGATTGGAAACAATAATAAAAAGTAACTATTTGATTAAGGAGTGGCTAAATTTTGTCAAAGTCAAAGTAGTGGTAGAATAGGTGTTTGTGCATTATTACTTCAACAATATCTTACCATATATTGATTGAGTTTAGCTTTTTTGAGTATTTTAGGTTTGAAAGAGTCTATTTTGTGCATAATTAAGCCACATTAATAGGTTATTTCAGAATATAAATACATGGACTTGAAGGAGAATTCTTATCCTACTCGGGATTAAAAAATATGCTTATTTATAGCTCATACTAAAAATAAGTATGTTTCTTGAGAATGATTTAATCTTTTTAGCAACTTCATTATATTTTCATTTAAAAAAAATATATATATATATATATATTACATTTTTTAATTCAATTTTGTTCTATAAATTAAAATTTATTAAGCTTTATAAATCTATATTTACACACACACACACACACACACATATATATATATATATATATATATATATTTGTCTTTAAACAACTTCTAAACTAATTATTTTTTTTCAAAACCCTCAACAAATTTCTGACGTGCAATGCCCAGTTTGAATACCTTTTAAATTGATCCAAGGACAAATTCTGTGTCTTAATAAAGTTTTGCAGTACAATCAGAAAGTTGATTATACCAATAATATACTGGCAGTTTCCAACTTGTTGAAATTCTGGTTTTGGACAGAATCATGTTAAGTATTCTATTTTTCTTAATTCCCATTTAAAGTAACATATATAGGAAGACAAAAAAGCCTTTCAAATACATATATATATATATATATATATGTATGTACATATATATATGCGGGAAGGAATGAAGGGAAGACAAAGAGCATTTTATGATTCCATGGTCAATGGTGCACTGCTTGCCATACAAATGATAGGGGAACTGTTGTAGACATTGGAATTGACGAAGATCGCCGGGTGATCTCATCAGTCAGCACGAATCACATGACAAATGCAAACAAGTTGTGATCAAATTAGTTATTATTACCATCGCCTCTTTAACAACGAAACATCCACACACTAAGCGTCAAACCACATATCGGACTTACGGAAGAACTGGTTCAGGTAAGTATTGGCTAGCACCAAAAAAAGCACAAGTTCTGAGCTCCATGACCCACTTCACACGCACTTCAACATCCGCTGTTACAGCCACTTCAGCCCTTAGTTCATTCAATTCATCTGCATTCGGATAGATTTGCAGAAGCCCCAAGTCGTGCAACATCGCTTCTGATGCACCGACACTCCAGTGAGGACTGCTGATCTAACTGCTGTTCTTTCGATCGACCCCACTTTACACCTCGGAAAGCTGCACCAAGTTGTTGACTAGGACAGACTGGCAACCCATGATTTGAACGAGCTTTTCACCTGGGGCGGCTGAATTCCTGGATGCTGAGAAAATTTATTATATTGCGTTACTAACAGTAACTCGAAAGCACCGTCCGATTCTTGGATCGAAGCGCTGATATTCGTTAAACTTCATCATCGTGGTCGGCGGGTTCCGGCGCATCGCGAGGTGGAACTAGTTTTGAGTAATCCCAAACATCATGGATATGTTTCAGTAATCTTTGTTTCCACACTAGGGTGGGTTTTTCATGAAGTTCAGAGCACAAATGAGCTTGAGAACCCTTCGGATTGGCAGCAGAAAGCGTGAATAGGGTCGTCAAGTCGTTGCAGGTTCCCCGTTTAGTCCGGGTTCATATTCTGACTATCATGACCGTGTGCCGGTAACTCCCCGAAAAAGTTTTGTGAATGGATGGATTGTTAAAGTAAGTCTGGGGCGACTTCGATGACTCACGCTTGTTGCAAAACACATGAATCTCCTCGTCAGGTGAGTGGTATCAAGGCTCTATACAGGCACGGACGTAGCAGTAGCGAGCTCCTGCAACAGTTAGTGCTGAGACAGCCGTGTATAATTAAGCTCACTGTTTCCAACGTTGACCACAATACTCTGCGTATGATCTCTGTTCCGACGTCCATCGATCCGATGTCGTCGGCGAAGACAACTAATACACCAAGCCTAGATTATGTAGGTGATCGTTTGGATAATTAGTCGGTGATGTGGGTCGGGGACCTAGTGTTGACATTTGACATTGTGAACGTTTGGCTTGCAGAGTGGAAAGTCTTTCTTTCAGTAGCATGCTTAAGGCGAAAAGCTGCATAAGGTTTCACCCACAAAGCGTGCGTATTATCCTGGCTTGGAAAAGTCTTAACAAATTCGTCAGTTCGTCGTCGTTAGGTCCTCGATGACGTGGATAATTAGTCGCTAGCTATGCCTTGAAAATTGATCTGTTAGGAATACAAACATCCACACTGTGACGAATAGCTTGGGAGGTGCTTTCTCTTTGCACGATATCCCGTCGTTACATCCTCTGCATGCTACTGAAAGAAACTTGTATTTCAGAGGAACCTGAGTCTTGCAATGTTGGACGTTAGGACGAGGTACAAAGCCACGCCAGCTAGCAACAAATTGAGCTTTGGTAATTACTCTTTCTACAATCTTGAATGATACTTTGCATCTCAAGTGATCTTAGAGGGGCAATTGGTGGGCGCTTGACCAGAGTTTGGCGTCTTACAAGAATCATGTATTTCGGCAAGTCGATAGGAATGTGTTCCGTTGAAGGAATTTACAGGAGTGTTACGAAGTCAATTGGTAGTTTTTGTGGTTGTTGGATGCATCGTCTTGTGGAAAATAAAGTACCGAAGTGAATGCTTCTCAGCCAAAGATTCATCAGGAAGAAAAATCTTATTTATATATATATATATATGTTTACAATTATTTCAATTATTTACAATTGAAAAGGAACGGCAAAGAAGCTCGATCATACACATGACTTCCTAGAGGCCTCACAAGACCATAACCCTGGAAAAGAAACCTTCCATGTAGCAGAGCTTGCGTCGAAGAAAAGAAACGGAATTGATCGCGATGGCATGATTATGTTGGCAGGCAGCTACCCTATCGCTCGGACCGGAACTGCGTTGCACTCATAACCATCACAACTCACAATCTTACATTTCCTCACCGTCACAACATAGCTGTGCACATTCGCCAGCATCCACTGAGCCTACTCTGTCAAACACCCTCCTCCTCCAGTTCGCCGACATTTGCACCTTCCCCGGTAACGTAGAACTGTGTCCAGGATAAACGATGCTGTGCAAAACTGGCATCGTGGCTATGGTGAACAAGAGCAACGAGACTGCGTGTGTGTGTGTGCAAAAGCACTGGATTCATGGCACCGGCGTCGATCTCTCGCTGACTCACTCACTAATCACTCACTCGCTTGTGCCTCGTTTGTCCATCGTCTTGTGGTCACCCTCTGCGCAGCCACTTGGAGGAGTGATGATTGTTTGTTGATTGTAATTACTTATTGCTTGATGGATTGAATGTGGGAGGATTTTAACTTGATCAAATGTTTTTTTTCCTTTTATTATTATTATTATTATTTTATTACTAATTGTTATTTGTGGTGATTTCTGCCTAGAATCTTTGCAAGTTGTGTACGCAAGATTCAGGAATTGAGAGTTGTGTATTGGAACTTGTGTCTGTTTTGTATGTATTGGAGTTGATTTCAGTTGGAAAGAGGTATTTTAAGGCTACAATAATGTTGAATTGCTTTGAGTTTCATATTTTATTAGTAGTCATAGTAGTAGTAGAGTTGTTTTAATCTTCTAATTTGAAATGTGAAATTGATAAAAAGAATAAAATCATATGTCATGGTACATCATTTATATTTTGGATATTATATTGGTCTAAAATATAAGATATGTGTGGGTAGAGAGTTTTGATTTTATACATAAAATATGTTATTTGATGAAAAGTAAAGTCTAAAAATCAAAACATTTGAAGTAAAAGTAATTCATGAGTTAAGAAAATTAAAGTAGTGATTTTTTTATTGTTACAATCTTACAAAATGTTTTAGTCATGCTTATAACACATAAATGATATAGATAATTAAGACATATAATCTATATTATATAAAAATGTACATAACAAATTAAATTTTAGATTGAAAGTTGTAGATACAATAACATTTAAGTTTCAAAAATGAAATATACTATATGAATTTTTCTTAAATAAGAAAAATAAAAATTAAATGTAGAAAGCTCAGAAACAAATATACAAATAATTTTTTTTCACAAGTTAGAACATCAATATATAAACTTCTCCATAGAAAAAATAAATTAAAATTTAATAATATGGTGATAAATATAAACAGATTAAAACAGAAGGTTTTAAAATATATTAAAATTAGAGTGATAAGTTTGAATTAAATTTTAGACCTAAAAAATTGAAAAAAAAAATCTAAATCTACTACAAGTAAAACTTTAATTTTTTTAAAATAAATAATAAAATGAAATAAAAATGAATAAACACATAAATATTTTAAAATAAAAGAATGAATAAAAAACTATATACTATTTAAAAATTAATATTACTATTTTTAAATACAAAGACCCTAAAGAAATTAGAATTTAGAATTAAGCACAAAACAATCATTATTGGAATTAAGAATGGCTTTGGTCTTGTGTGTATATGTGTACATAAATAAATATACATACATACATAGATCAACTTACAAGAATATCATATAGATATTTTTTGCAATGTTTTATATAACAAATATTATAGATCTAGCATATTTATGCCAATGTTTTTTACTTAAATATGATAGATAATTTTACATTATTCTTTATTTTAAAGAATAATTTCATAAAATAGTAATTAAATTTTAGAGTTGATTTATAAGTTTAAATTATTTATAAATTTTACATTATTCTTTATTCTATTTTTTTATTTTGATTACATAATATAGCAGCTTTTTTACTTAAATATTTTAAAATATATTAAATTTATAGATGAAAATGGTCTAAGTTTATAAACTCCAACTTACTACAAAATCAATTCGTCTTTATATTTTGAATATATCTTTATTATATTATAAATTATATATACAATTAGAGACAAGTTCATGTGCATAATTACTTAGATGTTTTTGAAACTAGTATTGAAAAGATGGACACATTCCTTATCTTGTCTTCTTATCTATGTTGTAAAAAGTTGGTCCTATAAAAATTTGTAAGAGAGATTCCAAGTGTGATTTTTTTTTTAGAACTTTCAATAATTGTCTATAAAAAATTTCAAAAAATTAAGAATAATCTTGGATTAATATAAAGGAAAAATAAGAAAATTCAAATATTGCAATTGACTAAAAATGCTTCTAAGAGAATATAGTATATTTAAAAATCTTAAAACAAATTCCAAAAGAATCTACAAGATTATAAAAAATCATAAAAAATAAGAATCATATATCTAAAACATCATAGAAGTTTGAAGAGTTTTGATATATATATATATATATATATATATATACGCTTATTGGAGTTATTTGTTGTATACTGGTGACACTACTTCCTTTTTTGTTTAAAACTTCTACTGATAATTCTAAACATCTTTTCTCTTACATCTGAAAAGCATTAAGTCTATTTATTAAAAAAATGATTTATTTTTTAAATTATAATAAATTAATTTTATCATTTGATTAAAAAATGGTTTTGATAATTATATTTAATTTTAGTAGCTTTTGATAGTTCAAAAAAATGTATGATAAAATTTTGAAAAATCTTATATTAAAGTCATTAATTGAAAATTAGTGAATCTAAATATATATTATATTTGTAAATAAATTTATTTAGATATTATTAATATATCATTGGATTTATTTCCGATTGAAAATAAAATCAAATATGAAGTTGATAAATTATTTTATTTATGACTTAAATATATAATATTCAAAAATAATAAAAAAAACTTTTTAAAAAATTATCATCTAATAATTATACAAGATTTACAAATAGTGTCACAATAATTTAAAATTAATGCTCTTATAGAAAATTAAAGATTATATCATGCAAAAAAAATTAATGAAGATTTACAAAGAATAGTAGGTTGTTTTAAGAAGATTTACATAAAATAAGTAGGTTAATTTAAAATTATATATATATATATATATATGTGTGTGTGTGTGTATATATATCAGTGTATATAAAATCTTTTTCAAGCCAAGGCTCGTTGGTTTTATTTCTATAGCTTTGGTACATCAAAAAGGAAGATTATTTAATGGAATTTCAAGATCTTAAATGTATACTACTACTTTTTTAGTTTTTTGATAAAATTTGATGTTTATAAAAAATGAAAAATCATAATAATATATTAATAATAATCTAAATATGTTTATTTAGATATATTTTAAAATTTTAAAAATTATTAAAAAAATCAATGATAGTTTGCATTATGTATAATTTTGATTTTGTTGTTCGAAATATCTCAAAACATTTTATAAAATGCAATTAGTTTTTACAACTAAAACTTGTGAATTATTAGTAATTTATAGTTTAAGTGCATCATGCTACATTTAATTTGAATACATATAAAAGTTTAAAAATAATTCGATTTTCTTGTATAAAAAATAATTAAGTATAAATAATATTTTTTTTTATTATCAGCATGATGAATTTTTAATTTATACATATGTATACTCTAATTTAGTAAATAATTTTTAGCATTCTTACTACTTATTTATTAATTAGATTACAATTCAATGATATCCCTTCATACTTAAGATTTTGAAGCTTCTTCCTTCTAGTAATACAACTTTTGTGTATTATCTATACTTCCATATCATTAATTGAGAATTTCATCACTTGTGCATTTAGGTGTTATGATAATATGTCAAAATTGACTCCACCTTTTTGTGGTATTTTTTTAATTAGTCATTTCACTTTATTTTTAATTTTTTAAATTTTCTCTATTCTTAAAACATCCATTAATAAATTATCCAACAAATTTTATAATTAATTTATCTACTTAGTACCTCACACCAACTTTTTATACTTTTATATTCAATATCAATCTTTTTCTTCTCTCATAAGTCAACATTAAGTTTTCTAACCCAACTCCACCATCATTGTTTCCAACTTTTTGAATTTTATACGTTTCCATATGAAGAGCTATTACAATATACTCCACCTACTCCGTGGCCATCAAAATTATAATTATCCATCCTTTAGACCTAGAAGTTCTTTTATTTCCTCAAAAACTTAGAAATAAAAATAAATGTAATCCACCACGACTTCACTCAACCACAAAAGCGCTCTAATTTTCATTCCTACAAGTCATTCTCCCATTATGCCGCGAATGGCAAGCCAAACGAATCATCCAAATACATCATCCAAACGATGAAAAAGCTACGTGGAAACAGGAAGGGAACGAACGCCGTCCGTCCAACAAACATCACTCCCCCTTTCACCGTCTCGGGGCCCACGGCGATAGGTACGCGATGCAGGGCACTGGGCTACCACCGACACCGGCACTGAAGGTGCGCCAGGCACGTCGAAGCCTTGATTGCGGCGCATTGATCAAGCAGATTAGTGCAGAGCCGAATTGGGATTTGGAGCCCGTTGTTGAGGAATTTCGGTGGCCATGGTGGTTCCTCCTCCTCCTCTTTCTCTCCCAGGGTCTGCACCGCTGTAGCAATTCCCCGCCCTACTTCCTCCCGTCACTTGCGTAGAACAGCGTCGTCGTCCTCTGCCATTCACCACCCCCCTCACGCAATTAATTCTCCCCGGCGGTGGCGTCTCCGTGATGGGTGGCTTATTACATGCGTCGCCAGCTCTGAAGCTCGTGAGATATGGAGTGAGGGTCGTGGGAGAATGTTCCTCCCTCGTTTGTCCAACTCCCAAGGATTACCCTTCACGTGTTGGTTGCAGAATGAGGTCCAGGTCTTTGAATAGTGGCGGGAGGAGATTTGGGGGAATTAGGGGAGGTAGGGTTAGCAGTGGCTTTTCTGAGGATTCTATCGCTGCGGAGGAATTGAAAGAAGAAGCAGGAGTTTCGACAAGTGGGGCGAGTGTGCACAGCGAGTATGTAGGAGTGCAGGTACTGGAGTGGGTTAAGGGGGGTTTGCGAAGTGAGGGGCTGCTTATGTACAAGGTCGCCCTTGCTCTCCCAGGGTTTTTCCTGCCTTTAGAATTGGAGGGCGCGCAATCCGTTGTAGAGGCACTTGTGGTGTTGGGTACAATTGTAATCGTTCATGAAACTGGCCATTTTTTAGCTGCGAGGGTGCAAGGGATCCACGTCACGCAGTTTGCAATAGGGTTTGGGCCAGTGATTTTGAGGTTTAGTGGCCAGAATGTGGAGTATTCTTTGAGGGCTATACCGTTGGGAGGATATGTGGCATTTCCAGACGACGACCCAGAGGCTTTGTACCAGCCTGACGATCCTAACCTGCTCAAGAACCGCTCCATTCCCGAGCGTGCCTTGGTAATCTCTGCGGGTGTCATAGCCAACCTTATATTTGCGTACTCGGTGCTCGTCGGGCAAAGCCTTACAGTGGGATTGGTAGAGCAGGAGTTTCTACCTGGAGTCGTCATCCCTGAAGTCGTCCCGAATTCTGCCGCGGCCCTCGCGGGAATCCATCCTGGCGATGTGATTACTGGGGTGAATGGCCATCTTCTCGACTCGACTGAGACCTCTGTCTTCGATCTTGAGGACACCATCAGAGAGAGTGCACAGAAGAAGCTCAATTTGTTGATGATCCGAGGCGCGGAGCTTTGGTACTTGGATGTCACTCCAGACGATGCCGGTGAAATTGAAGGGCTGCAGCTATCTACAAACTCAATATCTCATCGAGTGAAGGCTGGTAATGCTGCAGAGGCAATCGTCAAAGCAGCTGAGGAATTCAGTAAATTGCTCACAATTGTTACAGATGGTCTCAAACAACTATTCTACAATTTCACCCAAACTGCTGAGAAACTTGCAGGTCCGGTAGCGATTGTGGCGGTAGGTGCGGAGGTCGCACGAAATGATGACACAGGATTGTTCCAATTCGCTGCCATTGTGAACATTAACCTGGCAGTGGTAAATTTGCTCCCTTTGCCGTCTTTGGATGGTGGCTACTTGTTCCTCATCGCACTGGAGGCCCTGCGAGGAAAGAAGCTCCCGGACGGTGTGGAGCAGGGGATCGTGTCGTCTGGTATTGTGCTACTCTTGGCTCTCGGTGTCGTCCTAATGGTGCGTGACACCTTAAACCTCGATATTGTGCAGCAAATACTGTAGGTCTCATGATGTAGATTTGACACACATTATTTAATTATTTGGGGTTACTATGCCATTGAACATTGTGTAGATTCTTTTCATTAGACTGGATTAGTATTACTCTGAAATTCCCACATTTGTATACAAATTATCTTTTGCGTAGATAGTACTCTTAGCTCAGAACATTTTGTAAATAACATGAAAATCGCTCGTCCAAGAGCATTCCTGTGTTTACACCCAGTTTTTGAGATCCCAAACACTGTGGATGAGGCAAATCCAGAGTTGGTCACAATATCCTAGTACAGTGTGACCTCCCTCCCCACTTGTCAGTGTCCATAACAGGAAGTGTAACGATTACAGAGACATACAATTCAGAAGAAGTTTACGCAATTGAAATTGAACCGAAGATTTTTTTTTCGTTTTTTTTTTTTTTTTCAGATATACATTCCAACTGTGTACATAAAATAATAATAATAATAAATCAAAAAATCAAAAAATCAAACATGTGTGTCTTGCGTCCACTTGCACATTCACCTGTTTTCCATTCTCAGATTCATCCTTAGGATTAAAAAGTAGAAAGGAGAAGTGTACACAGTTTAACTTTCCTGTGTAAATGTAGTTCTTTTAACTGTTATATGGTGATGAATATAAACCTTCGCTTTTGTACAAAGAACATTGATTATAAGACTATTTATGGCTCACACACAAATAGGACACATTTATAACCCGAGTTCCATCAATATATAGTTCCAACGATACAATTGGACAGGAGAATCAGTCCAAAGCTGGTACTCTGGGACATCGTATATTCAGATGAATGTTTGATGTCTTGGGGGGCAAACCATGTACATCTTTTGTCCAAATATATAGAAGTTGATACCAAATTTTTCCGCAATTTTGTTTTCTTTTTCTTTTTATTTTCATATATCCACATGCACAACTTGACGTATTTGGATTAATCCAGCGCGTACATGTAGTTTCCAAAATGCGGTTTTTATTAGTCACCTGCACAAAAACTTTTTGTGACAGCGTTCTCGGTTTCTTTCTTTTCAAGCAAGGATATACTACACTTCTTAAAGCTCCCATCTGCTTGAGTTGCTTAATGAAAGTAGGGGAAATTGGTTTGCTGCGCGAAGGAATCTATAGCCTGTTCGTAAACAAATCAGGGTCTATAAAATGCTCATTTTACTCTTCCAGGTAAATAAAATAAATAGGCTCTTAACAACATTTCCAATCTCATGAAACGGTATTCTTGAGAGTAGAGAGAACACCACCTCATGAAGTTGGAAGTATGTCGAGTGTTCCCTTGATTCTAACAAGGCAATCAAGTTGGTGAGCAATGATTTTTAAACGTAAAATTCATTCTTTTAAGGATCATGTTCCTCATACAGATGACATGAGCAATGCAGGACATGCCATTAAATGAAGATGAGATTGACATCTCGAGGTACAAAAAATTGGTTCAATGTGTATGAAGCTGATACTGCAATTACGTGAAATGGCCGTACCTCATACTTCAAACCCAGGTGACCATTCATGCCAATTCACATGGATGGAAATCACGATTTGACGAGAATGTTTCAGCTTTGATTCGCTTATTGTAGTCCAAATTTCAGGCTGGCGGCTGCGCTTGAGATATAAGACCAACTTCTCACAGTTTTGCAGTCCACCCTCGTGCATTTGAGTAGAGCAGAGGTGACGTGGAGACCATGTTCATGCGATAACAGCAAAACCATAGTGTGCAAACCCACTCACAGGAAACCATGAAGATTGTTGGACAACTGTAGTGTGCTTTTGACTGGTCCATCAAGCAGCAGCAATAAATTACTCAAATAATGCTACTCCCTACCAGACACTACTCACGTCAGAGAATCGCTACAATTGTGGCAATCCGTGCCTCTAATGAAGACAAGGAAATGTGTACTGTAAAATTATTGGGTCAACCAGCTGCAATCGAGACCACCTTGCAACAGCTGTTAGTGTAACAGCAGAGCAAAGCCCCAAAACCATCCCAGGGCAGAGCGATGGCACAAAAAAAGTAAGAGCTTCATGTAGCGCTATCTTCACAAGCAACATACATTTGAGCATAACTTTATTCGGATTCTACACCTAGGGGATTAACTAGCACATGACATAAGGTTGCTACTATCTTACTTTAATTACTGCATAAAATAAAGTAAATTTCATGTAGCTAACAACTGCAATCAGAAATGCTGCAGTTCCATCAGAGGAAAGAAATCCAGTCACGCCAACAGGGACTTGTCTTCGGAGGCTACTCAATTCAGATAATTGGTTCAAACCTAGTTCATCAGATCAAATCACCATGGCGCGATAGATCAACGTATGAATGGATGCTAAAATCAATCAATCAATCTTACAGTGAGAACCAAGAAAAGGTGATGACGGCAACACAAATCTCACCTAAAAATCCATGAATATGTGGAACAGGATCAAAGCACGGGCTGAGTCAAAGAACTCTTAGGAGCTCAAGGAGTGCTAGGGTGGGATGGAGAACTCTTCTTCGAGTCGTCATCACTGCCCCTGATGATCTCCCCCGACATGGTTTCAGATTGTCGAGACGGCTCGGCACCGTTCTCTATGAAGAATGGGTGCACATCCTCAAGCAGGGGTAGCACGCTCTGCATCTTTGGTCGATTTTCAGGTACTGGGTCCGCGCATTTCATTGCAATCTGAAGCATGGCCACCAGTTCACCCTCAATGTTCTGATAACGCATGAGCTCTACGTCAAACACTTCGGCTGTCCATTCTACACGGACGATGGACTGCACCCACTTTGGCAGGTCGATGATTTCATTGTTGGAAATCGTTTGTGCGGGTGCTTTTCCTGTCAGAAGTTCCAGGAGTAGCTGCAAACCACACCCAGAATTGAAATATTAATGCACAATCAACAGAGTCTCACAAGCCATAAAACACCAACTTCAGAAATATAATAGGATATTGTGGTGCAGAACGGAAGCATACCACTCCAAAGCTGTAGATATCAGAATTCTGTGTCACTTTGCGAGTTGTGCCGACCTCAGGTGCTCGGTACCCATCAAGTTTTGAAGCAGCGGGGGAAGAGCTCAGCAATTGCGCTAGTCCAAAATCAGCGATGCAAGCCTCTAGGTCTCTGTTGAGTAGAATGTTGGAGGACTTGATGTTCCCGTGCACAAACCTGGGTCCTCCTTGTGCGTGCAGATACGCTAATCCTTTCGCAGCTCCTATTGCGATCCTTACCCTGGTGAGCCAATCCACTGGTGTGCGATTCTTGCCTCGGTCGTCTGACAAGCAAGAAACAGAATGGAGTGCCATTCAATGTCTAATCAAAGTGATTACATCACACCATGAACATAAAAGATGAAGTTCAACGAAAGCGAGGATTTGTATCAGGACGGAGGATCTGGCAAGATGTTTACTGTGAAGAAGGGAAGAGAGGCTGCCCATCGGCAGGTAGTCAGAAACCAGGAGCTTCTCATCCTTGGAGAAGTAATAAGCGCGAAGGGGCACCAAATTTCGGTGCTGAAGCTTTCCTACAACCTGGATCAGAGACTCAAAATCTTTCTTGTTCGTGATCACATCCCTTAACCTTTTGACCGTCACAACCGTCCCATCCTCCAAAACGGCCTTGTAAGCTGTTCCAGCACTCCCCTTCCCCAGCACCTCGGCCGAGGCCCTCAACAAATCCTCCAGATCAAATGAAAGCAAGGAGAAGGATACTAATTTATTCACCCCTTGCTCCACTGTCGTTGAAACAGCAAATTCTACACCACAGTCCGCACCTCCCTTCTCGCGCGGCTTGTCACGGGAAATGTCAGGGATTGTAGCATGCGAAATCTCACATACTTCGGGTTCTGAAGAAGAATCATGCACATTACTTCTAATGCAGAGACAGAAGACGAGTCCTATGAGGCTAAGGATCAGAAATGCGACTCCTCCTAAAACAATACCCGAGATTGCACCTGCCGACAGCTTCTTTTCACTCGACGACTTTGCAGTTCCTTCAGGAGCTACTAGACATGGGGATGCAAGAGGTGGACCGCATAAGCCGGCATTGCCAACGTAGGAATCTGCTGGGAATCTTGACAGGGTTGGTGGTACAGCTCCAGACAAATTGTTATTTGCAACATCAAACACGGTCAGGTTCGCCAGCTTCAAGACTGGAATTCTACCAGAGAACGAGTTGCCGCGGAGACTCAGCAAGTAGAGATCGGAAAGCAGCCCTACAGACTCTGGAATGCTTCCATTCAACCTGAAGAAACACAAGAAGTCTTTCATATCATGGTTCCTGGACATGGCGATTTCTGCGTGACATGCTGCGCCATCTGCAGAGAAGTGTAACAGTTTGACAACGAACAAGAACATACGCAATTCATGATTGTGGGACTGGAAATCTTAAACCCTAGATCCAACACGAAAGATCGCAATATCTCTCACCTGTTAAACTCCAAGCTCAAATGAGTTAGTCGTGGCCACAACTCCGCCACATTTGGAAGAGATCCATAGAAGTCGTTCCCCGCAAGGTACAATTCCCTCAAATTCTTGCAATTTCCTAGCTCCGCTCCAGGAAACAACTCCGACAATCTGTTGCCCCGCAAGCTCACAACCTCAAGTTTAGGTAGCATGCTCAAACTCCCCGGTGGTATGATCCCTTTGAGCCCTTTGCCCGGCAATCGAAATCCTGTGACCCTATCCCCAGTGCAGGTTATGCCAAACCAGTTGCAAGGTGAGGTCGTGTTGATCCACTTTAATTTCGTCCATCTTGGATCATGATATTCGCTGAACGTGAGTAGCGCTCTTCTGTCAGCTTCTAAGTTTTGCCCTGCCACTGAAACAACACTCAGCACCACCATCAAGGCGGTTGCCATCCTGGCCATCCTCGACTCCCGCTCATGCCTCCTCTTACACATTTCTTAACAGGAGCAAAGCTCCTTCACAACGCTGCGTCAGAATGGTATATCATCCTGGAAAGTCTACACGTGCAGAAGACAAGTTGCTGCTTCGAAGGAGGAGATTCTTGGGGCTAAATTTAACATCCGCCTTCTTTGTCTGGCTTCTCTATCAAAAACATATCCTTCAATTGCAGCTTGGGGTCACAATCACCAGGAGATCGCTTTACCTGTATCAGCGATTCTCACTAATTTCAGAGACAAAGATGATTAGGCCGCCTTCGGGAGGAGAGCACAATGCTCTTTTGCATCAACCATCAATCAACCCTCCTTGCTGGCAATGCATCACATCCACGCTACTGTAACGGAGAAAGAAAATTAGCCAGATGCAGCCGTAGGTTTGAAAAGAGTGTGATATGAATGTACATGCGTAGTGGGCTAAGCTACACACTAAATGCAAGGACGACAATGTACTTGCGGGAGCTGGATAACGGTCCATTTCGAACGCATGCACCTGGAAATAACAGCAATCGCAGTCTGACCTAAAAAACAGAAAAAAATAAATTAAATTAAATTAAAATTAAAAAAATTAAACCGGCACTACAGTAGCACACGGACGACAGTGTCCACAACGCCCTTCCCTCCGCTTAAAACGACACATATACTCCATCTCATACCTCGTGGATTCCGCCGACACTAAGTCGACAACAACACAGTTCCAAATTCCTTCGGCACACAGGATTGGTAGTTCCATGACATAGGGGGGTGATACCGTCGGGATTCTGATAACCATGCACGCTTTCCTTCAGCGCACATTAAGCTCACGTCCAGACACAGACCATCGCCACTAACTTCCTGGTTTTTTTCCCAACACAAGCTTCCTATTTGATTAGATTCAAATTGGATCAATAAACAGCAGGTGATCGATTGACCTCCTCGTCCATCTGCACTCACAATCTGCAACTGCAACTCCACTAGGACTCATCAACACAACGAAACCAGTACTACTACAATGCCCTCATGGAACCTACGGTGTCCGACCTCAAGCAGATTGTTTCACCTGCTCTGAATCGCTGGAGTCAGCGACCCCGATTGGAAGTTAGGAGAGGCGAACGCAATTCAACATCCATTTGTGAATTCGAACCGCGGTTTCCAAACCCGGGTCCCTGGAGCGGAAAAGCGTGGCGCCCATTGCCAGCTTACCAGACAATCTCTAGACCTCCCGAAATAGTGCGAGCGGGAGAGAAGCGTGTGTGATCCATCTCATCTCGTATTCGGTAACGGAATGGTGAGGGGATCGATCGATCGTCGATGATATCGATCGCGTCCGCGAGTGCCCCACTTCGGACTTTTGCAAATTCTCGGCGATCTGAGTCGTGACGACGACGAGCCCACTGTCACTTACTCCTCCCAACGAGCTGCCCTTCTGGCGTCAGTGTGAACGCAGTTTGACTTTCGTTCGTCGTGGGCCGAATTTCGTTCGTCTTTGGCCATATTTCGTTCGTTCCTCACGAATGATAATTCTGGTTATTGTTTGCCGTATTGGACGGTAGTGGGCCACCCAGAATCCACTCGCTTGAGCAAATATTTGACGCTTGTGAGGATGAAAAATACAAATTTTAAGTTTTGTGTAAACAGAGATTTTGAGTAGAGTTGAAAATTTGTAGCATGTTTATTTAATTTGGTAGATTATGGTTTTAAGGATCGTGAGAGAATTATAAGGGAAGGTGACTTAAGGGTGAGAGAAGCCTTTGGAAAGATGTAATGTTTTAGAACGGAGAAGCTTAGATTGACAAGATTGACAAACATAAGAAAAGAGCAATCTAAAGGGAAATATTGTTAGTTAACTTTACACAATCTTGTGGATACATGTGACCATCTTAACCATGTGGAGAGGTCTTCTTAGTTATGTCCCTTGGTTGAAATATAACATTATTTGTTTGGAAATATGATCCTAGTTTCACCTCTCTACTTATTCATTTTCTCTAAGCTTTAGGAAAGTAGATGGATAAGTGGGAAGGAGTACCAATTGCTTTGAATCATAAATATATATATATATATATATATATATATACATATATACCATACAAATACATGTATTTTCTTGATTAAGAGATTGTATTGTATATTCTAAAAATAGTATGCACTAATCCTTATAGAGTCCAATCAAAGTAAGATTTTAAGTTTTTAGTAAATTAGTAATTTTTTATTTGCAAGCATTCAAAAATTGATAAAAATTATGTATTTGAAGATACTAATATTCTTCTACAAATTCTATCAACAAGAAATTAAAAAATTATAACTTATTTTATAATTTAAAAAATAATTAAAAAATAAATTATCATTGCAATAACCACAAAATTTTATATTTTAACTCTAAGAAATCAGAATAAATTATGAAATATCAGCATATTTTTTGTAAAAAATTTTTTACTATTCTTTTCTTTTAATCATATTAATAAATTATAATATTTCTTATATTTTAATTTTTTAGTTTTATCATTTAAATATAATAAAAAAATAAATTTGAATAAGTATTTTAGACTAACCACATAATTTGAAGATAGTTTTAAAATTAAATGTTAACTTGCATGAAGAGATGATTTTTTTAATTAAATATTAATTAACTATAGGCAATTCCATATGAGTCATTATGAATAGGAGACAAATTCATATTTGAGTTGATGGTAATTATACAAACAGATTTAGTATACCAAATGTGTTTACTTATGATATTTTTTTTAAAAAAAAGGTAATAAATATTATTAAAAATAAATAAAAAATAAAAGACTAAAATCAAAATTTGTTTTAAAACTCAAAGTTTTTATCTTCATTCTTACTTTACAAGAATAATAATTATAAAATATATATAATTATAAAAAATATTTATATATATATATATATATATATATATATATATATAGAAAATATTATTATCTTTCTTAACTAATTTAATTATTTGCATCTGCAATTGATTTTACAAAGACAAAAAGTTAGATGTTAAAACAATTTATTCAAGTAAATAATGAAAAAAGCTTGTCTAATAAATTAATTCAATTCCAAAAGGACTTACTGTAAATTATAGATTTGATAAAAATAATAAATAAATAAATAAATAAAAACTTAAATAAAATTTAAAAAATCCAAAAAAAATCATAAAAAATATAATAGCATAAAAAGTAATAAACCATAAAAAAGATGTAATAGACAAACTTACATAAACACATGTACAAAAAATATTTAATTGATAATTTTTTATTTTTTAAAATTATTGATCTTAATTGGAAATTAAAATTATTATCAATATGCCAATAATGATTTAAAGATTGATTTAGTTTAATACAAAACTTAGAATGTAAGAAAAAAATCTATTTTTGAAGTAGATTTTTATATAATATTTATTTTTTAATCTTAAAATACAGTGACTTAGAAAATTGTTTCAATGTTGACATATTTTGAAAAGAATGGTGTATTATAGATGAATTGTAGTTAATAATGACACGTGATTTGTATAGCAAATAGAGTACTCATTTACAACTACCAAATGAGCTTAGGTTGAAAAGAATCTATTAGGTAATTGCAAAGCTATGACCAATCTAATTTGGAGTAGTATTGAAATAATTTTTTAAGTGTGGTGTCTAATTTTTGGATTCTATCAATTACTCAATATTGTAGCATTCTATCATCATTAGATTTACTATGACAATATTATTACTAATCTAATGATATCATTAATACTTATTAGCAGCTATAAAAGCACCATTCTTAATCACAATTCCTAGTACAGACATATTCCAAATTACTGCATTTTAGGACCTTTTAGAAACTTCTACAAATTTCTAAAACCTTCTACATACTTGTAGAATCTTATACAATCTTTTAGAACGTTCCATAGGCTTCTAGAAGTCTCTTTAGACTTCTAGAAGCTTCTTTAGACTTTTAGAAACTTCCATAGAAAATACCATAGACTTCTGTAACTTTCATTATAATATAAATAGGAGTCTTTGGAACTGCTTTTGCTATCAATTTCATTCTTTGTCTTTAATCTTGATATATTTCTTTGTATCCAATTCTTGTATCCTTCATAATTCCTTAAACAACTATGAGACCTTTTCCCGCTCTCCTTAAAACAATATCACCTTTGCTCTTCTTCATTCTCAAAAATCTTATAGCTAAATTGATTTTAAACTTGGCTATAATAAAGCTACTATCTCTAGGTTAGCAAAAAAGAATCACTTTTAATAGGAAGAACCTAAAATTAGGCAGACCAAAGAAGACAAAATTGTAATAGACAAAAGGGCAATCATTTGTCAAATCAACACTAGGAAGGTTTAAAATGCTATTGAGGTTGCTAAAAACCTTAACAATATTATCAATAATCTTGTATCAACTCAAACCATTTGAAATATTCTCAAGAAATGGAATATAAAAGCCATGGTGAAGAAAAAAAAAAAACAACTATTATTTACCTGCTATCAAAAACAACACTTAGATTTTACTTTGAAATACAAGAAATGAACTATGGAGGATTGGAAGAAGGTTATTTGATCAAATGAGACAAAAATCAAGAGATTTGGATAAGATGGTAGAAAGTGGGTGTGGAAACAAAAATGTCAATTCTTGCTTGACAAGAAGATCCAAAAAACAATTATACATGGAGGTAGAAATATAATGGTATGGAATAGAACGGAGTTGAAAGGATAGCAAAGATTGAAGGAAGGATGGATGCTAAGAAATTTGTAGAAATTCTTGAAAAAAACTTGCTTCATAGTATTGAAGAATCTAACATTTTTAAGGAAGAGGTGATTTTTTAGTAAGATAACAACTCCAAACAGAATTCAAAACTAGCATGGTAGTTTCATCATCATGTGATTAAAGTAATGGATTGGCATGCTCACTTTCTTGATCTTAATTCCATTGAACATCTTTGGAAGCACCTCAAATGCTAGCTCAATACCTGGAAGTTAAAACCAAATGAAGTTTGGAAATGATGGGAAAGAATAGCTACAAAATGGAATAATATTGAAGCAATTTTGTATCAAAAGTTAATAGAAAGTATGCCTAGGAGGTTGAAAGCAATTATCAAGGCCAAAAGAGGTCCTATAAAGTATTGATATGTAATTGGATACCACACTCAAAAAAATGTTTTAATATTAATCTAAATTGGATTGGTCATAGCTCCACAATTACTTTATAGATTCTTTTCAACCTAGGCTTATTTTGTAGCTATAAAAGAGTATTTTATTTACTATACAAACCACATATCATTATTCACTACAATTCATCTATAATATACCATTCTTTCCAAAATATGTCAACATTGAAATAATTATTTGAATCATTGTAGGTTTAAGGTTTTAAATTTATTAAATTATAAATATAACTTTAATTACCATTTTTTAAAAGAATATTTAAATTGCATATTTTATATTAATTTATATAAAAATTCGAAATTTAATTAAGTAATTTAATTCTAATAACTAATAAATGGAGAATTTAGATATTTCTATTAAAAAATTTATATGATAAATAAGAATGTATGTTATATGCATATATACTTATAATTTAAATAAATATAGTTAAATATAATCAAATTGAATAAAATAGGATATTAATTTTTTCATATAAAATAATCTAAAAACTTAGTTAATATAGGTATTATCTAAAAATATCATAGAATATGCCATTTGGTCATAGAATGATTTTTATTTTTTATTTTTTAATGCTAAAATTTAAGAACTTATCATTAAAAAATTCTACAATTTAGACATTCTTTTTTCAAAAACTTTATAGTCCTTGAAAAACTTATAGATAGTAGCTTGTTTAAGGCTACTAATACATACAACAATAACATAGGATATTGCAACAATATAGGATATTGCTAAAAATTATATAGATAGTAATTTTAGTTCTAATTTAATAAATTAATAAATTAATAAAAGAATATTATGGTGGCAATAGCAAAACTTGTGATAGCATTTAATACATGGCAAATTGTAGTACTATTAGCAACATCCACAATATAATGTTGTCTTTAACAAACTTTATATCTAAAATTAATTTTTAAAAGGCTATAGCCTACAAGTCCTATGAGGTCTTTTTCTTGATAATAAATAAAATAAAAATAAAAATAAAAATAGAATCTTTTAGAAACATAGATTATTGGAAATAATATAAAGTTTAAAAAAAGGTATAGAATAGACCAAATTATTCATTATGATAATTATAAATGTGTCCATATAATCTTAAATTTTATTTCTCTATTTTACTTTCTTTAACTCACTTAAATCTAGTTTTCATTATTTTTATATTACTATTTTTTAATTCTTTTATCTTATTTATTTATTTATCAAGTTTATTTGTTTGTTCTTTTCTTTTGTTTTGTTTTTGTTTTGTTTTTGTTTTTGTTTTGTTTTGTTTTGTTTTGTTTTTTTTTTTTTTTTTCATTTCTCATCAGTTTTTTTAAAAGTCCGTGTAAAACATCAAACAAAAGCTTGTTGTTGTAATAGTTATGCATTAGTCTTTGTGTATTGCAATATAACATAATATCAACATCAAATATCAATAAAAATAGAAAAAATTAAGAAATATTACAAGTTTTTTTTACAATTTGGATATAAAAAATTACATTTGTTTTATAATTAAACAAAAAAAGAAATTTAAGAAGAATAACTTATATTTTATATTACATTTCAACACATATTTGTGAAAAATATAATTTATTAATAAAAAAATTATTAAATTATATTAAATTATATTTCTATATAAAAAAAGTTTTAATATTATTTTTTTAGTTTGGTATAAGAAATAGATTGTATGAAAAAAATTAAAACTATAACTATAACCATTTGGAATTTAAAAAATAAGTCATTGGTGATTATTAAGAAATTTTGTAAAGTATTAATGATACAATTATAAAAGATTTTGTACAATTATTTGATAAGATAAACTTTTTTAACTTAACAAGTAGATTTAAAGCTTTGCATTAAATATTTTAGATAGTAGAAGTTATAAATAGATCACATATTTAAATATTTTCTCTAAAAATTAGCAAAACATATATTGATACTACTAAAATTAATATATTTGGTATTGATGCAAAATACTATAAGTATAAATCATAGATATGTAGAATTAGTATTATGATGGACCAGTAGTCTTTATATAAAAAACAATAGATTATATTAAAATACATAGATATAACTTTAAAAGGTGGTCATGGCGATTAGTACGTGACATGCTGTGTCATCTGCGTCGAAATCTAAATTATTCGACAATGAAGAAGAATATACGCAACCCTCTCGGTGGGATCGACAACTTTAAACCTTAGAACGATTCCTAAGGATTACGATCAAGCCAGTTGCCATTTCGGCCATGCTCGACTCCCGCCCATGCCTTATTCATTTCTAGACAAGGCCAAGTTTGTTCACAAGATTGCGTCAAAATGGTCCATCATCCGGAGACTCTACATGTGCAGAAAACAAGTTGCTGTTTCCCAGGAGGTTCTTCAATCTATGCCTCACAAAGGCAGCCAAAAAGAGACGTCAACCTTGAAGCCTACAATTGCGTTCATATCTGCCTATTTGTTCACTGAATCTGAGTCTTCACTTGCACCAACTGTGCCAACTTGAGTACCCAGAGTCAATGACAACTCGCTGCAGCTAATTTCATTGTCAGTGGAATCTCTGTCGAACTCATCAGCATGTTGATCAGCTACTCATACTTCTCAGGAGTGTGTCTTTTCGATGGCCAATGTTGCAGCTACCAACAGCAGATGAACAGCAGATGTGAACACCACGTTCCGCAATATTTCCCCTTATCTTCCATGGGGCTATCAACTTTGTGAAAACTTTTCCGGGACAAACTTCAACGACCTTGAGATGATTACCAAGTCAGGTTGTAGGCTTGAAAATCGGTTTGAGAACATTAGGAGCTCATTCCATAACCGACGATACACATTCATACTACTCATGGAAGTTTGATTTTTCTCAATAGCCAGGCCCTTTGCCACGCATGCTGAAAGCACAAAGCTGTCTGTCAAGGGCTTTAACGCTCACGATCGACTCTGTTGAGTTTGCTCCAGAAATAAATTACAGCACCATAGCTCGACCACTTTGCTGTGAAATGTATAACCAACATCGCAATCGCAGCCTATCCACTGCCTCTCTTCTACTTACTTTCACACTCAATGGGTGATCTTAACATCGACCCAAATTTTGTAACGTCTATTGTAGTGATGGACGCAGAAATTGATGCAGATCAAACCAACCATTGGTCATCAATGTAACATTGCTAGCAACTCAAATAATGCACTGAGAAAAGAAATCAATCAAACTGCAGGACACATCTTCGAAGCGTGGGGTTCGTTCCTGTTCCATGAATCTTTGCGAGAGCTTTACGGCAAATTACAGTGGCTAGAAGCCTCCCTAATTTGGAAACAGAAATTGAGCTTCTCGCAGGCTTGATATGAACAGATTCGAAATCTATAAAAGCTCAGGTTTATAGCTCTGGCCTCATATCTTGACGCTCGAAAACATCTAAACTCATGAGCTGTTGGACGAAAAATGCCTTCACATGGCAATCTTTGCAAATTCCGAACTTCAATTCTTCAAAAATCAAGGACTTGTCGGTTTGAACAGATGCAGCCATCGGTTCATTTGCGCACAAGATGGTTGGCTGCCTTGACTGGACCTCCGAATCTGAACGGGTGAAATTTGTTGGAGTTGGATTTGCCAAGAAACAAACAGGGTTTCCGATCTAGATGGTTTTGAACTTACTGCGAGTTAGTTATCACATGTGTGGCGAAACACACATGCAACTCGTTCCCTTGCATATGTTGATTGTTTAGACGTAGTCATTAAGTTTCATGCAGCATATGTGAGAGCACTGTGTGAGCATTAATGGAATCCATGCCTTGAAACTGCAAAGAAACTGAGATCACTCATTGACTCACTTGGTCATTGTAAATACTCAATTCATGCAGCATTACAAAAATAATCTAATCTACTCCTTAGCTGCATCGACGCGTGCTCGGCCATGATGTCATCTATTCACATTCTTTGATGTATGGTTTAGGGTTACTACTGATATGATGTTCGCCACTGCAGGAGAGTATGATTTTCATAATCTAGCGATGGTTCCCTGATGTTACCCAGGGATTTGAGACGGCCATTTATTTTAGCACACTTGCTCTGTTGTGCAGACTATTGCACATCCACGATGTATTAACATAAAAATTGTTCAGATATGAGGTAATCCATGGACACAATAAAGAGAACCAAACCATTATATAGGAGATTTAACACAACCTTAGATTTAATTCAACCAACTTGTCACATTGTCCCAAGATACCAAACACTCGGGGAAAAATGGCTCAAATCTTGTTGATCAGATCACATAATCGCTACAGAAGTCCACATTATGTCTATCTGATCAACATATGAATGGATACTAGAAGCAATTCAGCAAAGAGTCTCGATGACACAGGCATGACCAAAGGAAAACGCAGAAAATCATTGATTGTTAGTAAACAATTCTACGAAACAGTGTGCTCAGACGGATTGTGGGAGTCAGAGGACGGAGCTGACGGCGTCTGATTGTAGGACGGAGTGTTTTCCACCGAGTCCTTGTCTTTCTCGCTGCTCTTGGACTTCTCCTCAGAAATGCTCTCAGATTGACGAGACGCCTCGTCGCCAGTGTCGGAGGAAAATGGATGCACATCCTCCAGAAGTGAGAGCACGTCGGTCATCTTTGGACGTCGATCGGGAACAGCGTCAACACATTGCATTGCAACTTGCAACATGGCCACCATTTCTTCTTCGATATTCTGGTAGCGCATGAGCTCCAGGTCGAAAACTTCCGCGGTCCATTCTTCCCGAACCACGGATTGCACCCACCTGGGTAAGTCGATGCCTTCGTCGTTCAACGACACTTGAGTCGGTGCCTTCCCAGTTAGAAGCTCAAGCAGTAGCTGCGAAATCGGAGAATCAGAATGCATAGTGCACAATCCAGAGTCTCACATGCCACTAACACCAGGTTCATGAACATGAAAGGGAATTAGAGTACACGACAGAAACATACCACTCCAAAACTATAGACGTCCGACTTTTGTGTCACTTTGCGAGTCTCGGATATCTCAGGCGCTCGGTAACCGACAATCCTGGAGGCAGCGGCTGCAGAGCTTAACAATTGCGCCAGTCCGAAGTCTGAAATGCAAGCTTCCAATTCTCTGTTGAGAAGAATGTTGGACGACTTAATATTCCCATGCACGAATCTGGATCCTCCTTGAGAGTGTAGATACTCAAGTCCTCTTGCAGCTCCAAGCGCAATTCTTACTCTGGTCACCCAATCCAAAGGTGTACGACTGCTACCTCGGTTGCCTGCGACCCAAGTCGTAGAGCAGCCATATCAGACAGTGCATAACGTGCTTAGACATGCATAACGTTCTTCCTACGACTGACAAAAGAAAAGTCCAATCGTTACAATGTAGCAAAGGGTGTACCATGTAGAAGAGCAGAAAGGCTGCCCATCGGCATGTAGTCATACACTAGCAGCTTTTCATCCTTGGAGAAGTAGTAAGCGCGGAGGGGCACCAGATTTCGGTGCTGCAGCTTTCCTACCACGTCAACTTGTGCTTCAAAGTCCTTCCTGCCGGTGGTCACATCTTTCAACCTCTTCACCGCCAGGATAGTCCCGTCTTCCAAGACCGCCTTGTAAGCGGTCCCCACGCTGCCCTTGCCGAGCACCTCTGCAGACGCACGCAGCAAGTCCTCTAGATCAAACGAGTACCTTTTCCCTTCGAAGAAAACTAACTTGTTGCGTTCCAAATCCCCTGCAACCGAGCTGGAGTACTCTTCTCCACGCTCCTCCGCCCCCTTGTCGCGTGCCTTCTCACGGGCTTTTTCTCGTCCTTCAGTTCTCGTCGAACTCCGCCATCCCGTGAGTCGCTTCCAAAAACACACGAAGAGTCCTATGATGAAGAGCACCAGCAATGCAACGCCACCGACAATAATGGCTGTTATGGCAGCTGACGACAAAAGCTTCCGCTTCCCAGTTGTTCCTGCCTCTGGTCCAGTGATGGGGCTCGGGCTTGGCGAAACCACTACCGGGCACGCAGATGCGAGAGGGAAACCGCACAAGCCTGGATTGCCTAGCAGAGGAGCCGCTCCGAATCTGGACAAACTTGAGGGCACCGGTCCAGACAGATTGTTGTAGGCAACATCGAATAACGTCAAATTCACTAGGTTGAGGGGTGGAATGGTTCCGGAGAACGAGTTATTACGGAGGTTCAGCAAGTACAGATGCGAGAAGAGGCCAATTGAATCCGGTATCGTCCCGTTGAACCTGCCAATGCAAAAGAGTAATCCCAGGATCAGTCTATTTCCGTGGATACTCTAAACTTGAAGCGGAAGGGGAGAGGTAACAGTTGATATCATACACTGCATTAGCAATAAGGTATCTAATTTTGTAGTTCCGAGAGAATCCAGAATTAAAAACAGATATGCAAAAGAAAAAACTAACATGACCAGACCTATTGTATTCCAAGCTCAAATGAGTGAGTCGCGGCCAGAATCCGGTGAGATTTGGTACAGGCCCGTAGAAGTCGTTGCCCCCGAGATAGAGTGCGTGCACATGGTTGCAATTTCCTAGCTCGCCTGGAAACGGGCCCGTCAGGTGATTGTTGCGCAGGCTTACAACCCGAAGCTCCGAGAGCAAGCTCAAACTCTCAGGCGGTATGATGCCCGTGAGCCCATCACCCGGCAAACGGATCTGCGTAACTCGGTCACGGGAGCAGACTACGCCATTCCAGCGGCAGGTTGAGGTCGTGTTAGTCCAGTTCAATTTGGTGCCTCTGGGGTCGAACACGTTTCTGAAGGTGATGAGAGCTCTTGTGTCAGCTGCTAAGTCCTGGCCTGCCGCGGACACGAAAAATAGGACCACCACGACACAGGTTGCGACCTTGGCCATGCTCGACTTCCCGTCATGGTTCTTATTCCCCATTTCTAAAGATCGGCAGCGGTCTAACAAGATAGCTGAGTAGGGTTGGAGCTGCAAGATTGTCATGAAATGCTTGACCTACAGGAATCCAACTTCTTGCAATTACGACACATTTGAACTGCCATGCCTCGATCCTTCATAATCCTGAAGATTAATGTAGGCTTCAAATCACACTTCTGCGCTTCAACAGAACCCTACGCAAAAATAAAAACACTCACGTTAACAAACAGAAACCCTTCGTGTCAAACTGACATTGGCTATTCCATTACACTGACTGTGAGACAGCCATTCTTAGAACTGAGTAACATCATTAGGGCATCCTCGCAATTCCCAAGCCTTAGAAGGGAAATGCGATTTCCCAAGCGGTAGGAGAGCGACAGTCCATCCCTAGCAAGTGGAGATACACGCCGCCCTAAATACACAGGTGCCATACCCCACCATGTCTCCCCAGCGTGAGCCGAAAACTTTTTCCGCAGCCTACTCTATATTTCAAACCTCGTAAGCTTAGGAATGGCATCCCACCTCAGCGACTCTGACCTTGAACAAGGTCACAAAAAGAATCCATTTTCTAACCGCTATTTAACAGAGATTGATTTCAGACGCTTGGAAGGACTGAGACCAAGCTCACAATGACGCTGAGGATTTACTTGAGCGCATCTACATTGAAGTTACTCCGTCTTACATCATCTCTACTGTGGAGCCCGCATGGACTACAAAAGTGAGCAGGCTCTTTTCCGACACGAAGCGGCTGCAGTTGAACAAGGACACTGGCTCCGGTAATGCACCTACTTTTCATGGCAATAGACTACAAAGGTACAACATGCCGATGATATTTGAATAAAAACCACTTGTACTGTAGAAGGGAAACTACTCGCTCGCTTAGACACAAGACAACACAAATGTGTGGCCCGGGGGACCTTTATCACACCAGGGCTATGGGTGCTTCAGCGTCTCCTCGGAGTTAAAAGGCTGTACTGTTAATAGGAATGCAGTAATGTTATTAATCAACCTGCTATACTGTGATCGACGTTTTCACTGGGCAACAAGTAGTATTAAGACAATGATCCAAGTAAACACGGAAAAGAATGTCATGTCCTGGTGTGGCCAGTAAAGTGCAGCACTTAACGGATAAACCCAGGAGACACTGACAATAATATGTATGAAATGAACATGAAGAAGGATCAAGCACAAGTATTGCTAACCTGTGGCGTGAAGCTGCAGAAGCTTCAACTTCTATGCGTGGGTCACTCCTAGCAACTTCCTCCTTTTTAAGTCACCACTACCGCTTTACCACAGCCGCTGCAGCTCACGCTTCTACTTCGAAGCCAAGCACTTACACCCCCCTGAACCCCGTGAAGCAAACTATCGATCCACAGCTGTACCCCACTTACCTGGCACTAACATAGCTCGCGACACCAACCACAACCAAAGGAGAGCACCCAACTAGCAGTTACGCCGCAGCTCTCTCTCGGAGCACATGCTGCCCCGAGCGAACCCAGCTGAAGCAGGCTCACCACGACGCAGATAGCCGCGACGACGACGACGACAACTTGAGAGGAACATGCGACGAGCCTCAATCGCAAGCCAGAAAAAACAACCTCTCTTACGGCAAAAACCAGCTGCTCCAAACAGTGGCATGTACCCCCCCCCCCCCCTTCCCCCGTGAAGATTGTCGTAATAATGAAGCTGGCAAGCCCGTCAATTACTGTAAGGTTAGGCATGTGTAGCTGGCGGGAAGACGATGACTCGTCCCCTTCGTCGTCGTCCCCTCCATTGTCCAGCGCGTCCCCCGTTGCAGCAGCGGCAGCAGCAGCTCCAGTTGACCCATCTTAGAAGTCAAGCCACCAGCGAAACGATGCTCCATCGTGCTTGCGAGGAGGAGGGGATGTCACCAAGCGGAAGGATGAAGCCAGCGTCGTAGAGACGTTCTGACACGACGAGGCCTAAACAAATCTCACTCGGACGAGAAGCATCGCTGCGGCTCTCGTTCATAACCATCACCACTATCACCACCCATCGCCCCCATGAGTTCGTCACTGGGCAGCTGGACATTCACTCGCTAACTTTACTACTCTGGGCTTTCAACTTCTACCTGCATCCCACAACGCCATCGTCATCAATGCCGCATAACTGTGGGCTCCGCGCCTCGCACTCGGAGAGTGTGCTTTTTTTCTTCTTCTTTTGCCTCCTTTTTGAAGCTGGCGCTGTGGGAGAGCTATGGAAGATCTCCTCCAGCTGGCCCCAGTTGAATGCTCTTTGCTCCTGGACCCAAAGACTTGTAGCATTAGACCCCCCAAAGCCACACTTCAGCAGCAGCAAATTCCATGGATTACTTGGGAGCTGGAAGTGGTGAGGATCCAGAGTATCAAAGCTTCACATCCACCACCACATGCTTCAGAAAAGAGTGAGAATGTGAGATTGATTACACTAGGCTTGTGTGGGTTTCTTTCTTCTTTTTTTAATGTTATTTGTTTTACTTTCTTTGTTAGAGTCCACATGGGTAAATCAAGTGCTCTTGAAATGTAGTAAATAATGCTCCCTTTGGGCAGTGATGTGCTGTGTGTATGATAAGAATTAAAGCTCAGTACTGGAGGGAGAGAGGAAGGGGCAGGAGTAGCCAGCTCTGGCAGCCCTGCCAAGCTGTGCTGACAGATTAGGACTACAGATGCTTTCATTGCTTTTTGGGGATGTTCTGAGTATTTGTTGTGCTTTGAAAAAGGCCTAGCAGCAGTGTGGTGGTACTGCCTGCAGCTCTGGCTCTGCAGCATCCCCACCCCCTTCTGGCTTGTGAAACCCATGACGGCTTTGAATTTCTTAAACTTCCTTACCCACCTTGTGTTCTCACATTCTTCAAAAGAACAAGGGGGGAGAAGGGGGGGAGGGAGGAGGGGGGAGAGAACATTAATAATAAAAATTTATGGAGCATAAACAAGAAGTCTCACTCTTAATGTAGAAAAGTTGAAATAGTTGGAAATTTGATGGTAGATTATTTTTGCAACAAAGCTAATTTTAATGGCAATGTTTCACACCTTAAGGTTGTGAAGTCTTTTATTTTGTTTTTGCAAATTTCATTCCCCACTTTTGTCCTTCTACCCCCCCAAAAAAATGCTTGTACTTTCCCCCAAAAACTTTCTTTAATACTCGCATGACTTCAACCTGTGGCACTCGAAACCAAAGTTTCAAATCAAACACTGTTCAGGCCCATTCATTATAGCTACCACATAGATATGCATCATCGTTACACTAGTGCCAAATCACTTCTCTTGTGTAAGCAGCAGAGCTTATGGTGTGTATCATGTGACTCGCAAAATCTCTCTATCAACTCAATCATTTTAAAACAAGTATTCCAAAGCATTTACTACTAACGTACTCGTTTACTTATTAATCAGGGAAGTTTAGGAATGGTCTACAAAGGAATGGCATTTCGGGGTTTGGTGGGCTAATAAATCCACCTCATTGCTAATAATATTGAATCAGGCCAAGTACATGAAATTGGGTACATTCACTTTTAATCAGCATTGTAGAACAGTACCCTTGGTCACCACCAGATCCCAATCAATGCTTCAATAGCAGAGCAATTCAGGGCTCCTTCACTCTACAAGAATTGTTGTACATGGGATTCTGAAAAAAGTCTTTTCTTTTGTTTACGGAATCATGTAATGTTGGTGATGAAAAGCTTTATATATATATATATATATATATAAACATTTAAATGGCATGAGAATGATTAATATAATGATTTTTTTGTAGTGAGAAAAGCTGTCAAACAAGATGATAAAGAGGTAGATGCATGCGTTGGGCTTCAACAGTGTGTTTACAAGTGGCCCCAGCTTACACAAATCAAAGCATCACTCCTCACAATTCCAACAATAAGAGGCAGGACCTCCCACTGTGACCCAGCTGTGCTGAAGGGAACAGGGTTCTCAAAGGGTTGAGAACTACTCCTCAGCCTTGGTTTTGGCTGTGTTCCCACAAGTGGCATTTACTTCTTGGCCACAAATGTTGCTCTTGTACTCCATAAGTTGGCTGGCAAGTGGTTTAGGGTTTAGAGCTTGTTTGCATTAGGGCTTCATTTATTGACTGTGTTGGACAGCAAAGATACGGTGTAGTTGCACTCCTTTCACACTTCTACCCAAATTTCCAAATTCAGCTCACAATTTTAATTAAATAAATAAGCACACTTTTTGATAAAATAAAGATGTGTGTGGGGTGAGACAGATTGATTTTTGTTGGATACATGAGTGATCAAAATGCTAACCTACAGCGACTTCATTGATTTTGTTTTATAATGAACAGCTTTGAAAAAATATTCTCACAAAAAACTATAAATTATAAATTAAACGAGAAACATAAGATTCTACAATTATCTGAAAGATTAGGCGTATTCCATAGAGAGACCTGACGTTAAGTTTTTTTTAGCTCCTTATTTACAGAGTATGAAGCACAAATTGATGTGATCTACTGTGCAAAAGTGCAATACATTTCAAGTGCACTCATCTCACAAATTTTGTACATATTGTTTTCCTTCATTTCATGCAATATAAAATGACCTTAAAAGAACATGTATTCACTAAATCTAAAAAGACAATGAAATCATTACTTATAAATCTGGTTTTGACAACGACCATTGAATGAATAAAAAATGTTAAATTAAATGAATGCAAATGCTATATATTATTCGAAACTAAAGGACAGATAAAAGTGGAGAACATGAAGAATTGATTGACATACACTGTTTAAAGCCAAACCATTGCAGTATGAAGAAATTATAAATATTTGGAAATAAATGCATTCTCGTTCCGGACATTTGTTTTCAATATAATAGTGTGAGTTTTTATTTACAATATACGCACAGCATGTAATGGATATTCTCTGATTTTGGTTTACACTGTTGTCCAAAGTGAACTGAAACATGAATATTTCATTGGTTTATGTTATGATTTTGTATACGGTATTATGCATTATTGTCGTCTTTGCAGTAACTTCAATACATTTGAAATATCGTAAGAAAATAGTATCAAATGAAGATAGACAGAAATATTAACTATAGCAATACAAACAAGTACAAAGTTCTTGCATGTAAAATTGTCAGAGAAGTAAAATCACTAACAGAAAGACGTTCAGATTTTAATAGATATTTCAATCCCATGCTGTAACTACTATGCACAAATGTATTCCAGTTATCTCAAAATCTTCCTGTAGTATTCAATACAAATTGTTTCACATGAATGAATTACAAAATGATTGGCATTAAAGGTGTCTTCAGCTCTGGAATTTAGGATGTGCACCGCCCACTCCCATAGGAGTAAGTCAATCCGATGTAAGGTTTTCTTCTGTCTCTGTGGCCTGTACATTGCATTGTGCACTACAAATGTGTCTCGGCCTACTCAATAGTTATAGCTCTTAAGCTTGAGACTGAATATAGAAGTCCCTCTAGGAATACACAAAAATATAACTCTTGAATACAACAACGACCATGCGATAGACTGCATACATAGAAGTGTGAGAAGGGTTTAGTTATTTCCCTCCAAGCAGAAGTCACAGAAACAGAAACAGAAAAAGAAAAACGTTATGAAACCGAAGTGCCACAAGTGGAGACTAAACTTGTCCTTTGGGCTGAATGATAACAGTGCACGCATGTGACGAGAAACTTAATGGACCACAGTGCAAACATGAAAAAAAGCCGGAAATAATACCGCCCGCGATTAAACCCAGAAACATCGCAGAACAGTTCCAGCACTACTGTCAAATAGATGACGAAACACAAGAGGCACCAAGGGTTCCAGACATTAAGCAAAAAGCAATTCAAATGACAGCCGAGATGGAGCAGAAAGTACGGTCTTTAAAGCAAGGTGACTTCTCTTCATGTTGATTCAAACCACAGGATTTCATTGACACAAAAATAACAGTCACTACCTACTTCTTCGACTTCTTGACTGGAGCATCAGTCGCTGGAGCCTCAGCAGCTTGTGCGGGAGCAGCTGCAGGGATACCCTGAGCTTGTCGCTCCTCCCTCCTAGCGATCTTGCGCTCACGTGTAGCCTTGTTCTTGGCACGCCTAGCCTCGAATTGGTCAGAGAGAGTCTTCTCACGTGCCTTTTCAGCCTTCGATTTGTGGATACTCTCCATCAATACACGCTTGTTCTTGAAGACATTGCCCTTGACTTTCATGTACATGTCGTGGTACATGTGCTTGTCAATTTTCTTAGCATCACGGTACTTGCGCAAGAGACGCCTCAACACCCGCATGCGTCGCAACCACAAAACCTACAAGTCCACCAATCGATCAGTCATTTGTAATTCTATATCCTTTCGCACTATCAGACCAACAGTCAATTGACATTCGGAGAAAATAATCCATACACCCAACGTCATCGCAATTGAAAAAGATCTGGAGAGAGTTGTGACATCTTAAAATGATAAGACCGAAGAGTTCGAGACGTCACAAAAAATTGTGGATGTAAAGAACACAATAGAACATAAAACCCTTCAATATGTTACGCTGGATGCGTCGCTAAGCAGGGGTGGGGAGGAAGTCTACAAGCTACACATGAAGTTCAACCTCAGTTCAATACAAACTTTGAGATACATTACTTCAACCCTTGAAACGCTTACTAGCTGCCATAACTCAGATTCACCCTCCAAAAACCTAGTGTCCTCATCAATAATAGATGAAAGTCAAAACACGGCAGCTAAATTACCAAAGTGAAAAACCCTAATAAAACCTCAGATCCTAAAATTACAAAACCCAAAAACACAGCAAACGACAAGCAAGGAAACGTAGCATGCTGGGACAGTAATCGCCATTGTACACCCGCATTCTACACGAATCTGGCTACACTAAACCCTGAATCTGTGATAAAAAATAGTCGGCGGCATTACAGTACCTTAGTGGGAAGTCGAGCCTCTCTAGTACCCCGGCGCTTTCCGTAACCGGAATGACGGCCCTTTCGCTTAGCCTCAAGAGCACGGCGAGCACGAGCGCGCGAGTGAATCTTCTGGGGCTTGCGGATGACGAAACCGTCCTTCACCAGCTTGCGGATGTTCTGCCGACTGTTGGCCATGGAAATTTCGTTGACCTCATTGGGGTCGAGCCAGACCTTCCGCTCGCCGCACTTGAGCACGCTGGCGGCCAAGCGCTTCTGCAGCTTCAGGGAAACCATGACTGCGAAATCGAAGTAGGGCAGTGGCGGAGATTCGCGAGGGAGCAAACCCTACAACTCCAGAAAAGAACGATTGCGGGGCCCTGGCGCCCGTCTTCATGCCTCCCTGCCCTCGTATCACGGGTCCCCCTCCCTGTCCTGGTATTTCCCCCGGGTCAGATATGGACCGGCCCAGCCCGTCCTGGCCTCCATTGTACGCAATCCACATCCGACTTTCACCCGTTTATTCATTCATCCATATTGCCATGCCATTTCCATGGAGGGTTGTAAAAGTGTGACAGCCTTGTAATTTATTGTGCGCCCTTGGGAGTGTGTGGATACTAAACCATTATTTCGTTAATAAATATAAATATACGGAAAGTATAAAGCCACCCAACCATTCCAAGCCGTTCTTCTGTTCGCAACCATCACCTTGTTCCCAAAGTCGCTTTAGTAAAAACTAATGGCCGACTGCGAGTGGGAGAACGGTCTGGGGTATGCGATTAGGGCTTTTGTATGAGGATCACAAAAATGACTGCAACCGCTCACTGAATGCTTCCTTAGACGAGTTTAAGTTTAGCTGCACCAACATAGGAGCATCCACTTAGCGAGCTGACCTTGCGTAAATCCGTCATACGCTAATTATTGGAATCCGCGACCACATTTCGGTATGTCGCCATTCTTAAGTTCGAGCAAATACGTGATAGATATACTCTGCATATTACTGTGTTGGCTCAAAAACATGCTCCGAAATTGTGACGAATTTGAGAGATACACAATCTGAAGGTGTTGGCAAAACTCTACAACATATCCAGCGAACATACAAATCATAGCAAAGTCTTGCTGACGATCTTACACATGATCATCAATTATGAAGATATCGTGATTGTGGACATCTGTTGTAACAAATAAATCGGCTTTATAAAGATAACCAGACTGCCCAGTGTTAATGTCGTGACGAGCGACACATCCCTCCTGCGTAGCCTTAGTTTCGTAAGGCAGCATACCTTATTTCAGTGATCTCGCTGATACTGCGAAGAAGCATCAACTGCCCAGGTGCTCCACTGATAATGTCTCGGTAAAGAACAAAGTTCTTGGCATCATCGATGTCCCATGTACATGTAGACTTCACCAATTTGTCCACGAACAAGCGCAACAAGGCTTCATCATTTACAAATGGTAGTGTGAATCCAATACAAGTTCAGACGATTAAGAAGTTGGGATGTCGAGGTTTAGAGGGGAAAAGTATAAAGTAGTTGGCACCGTCCCAAACTTGAGGAGAAAAGAGAGATCAGACATTAATTGAATCAACGTCGGAACCGTACCACTTTTCAAAGGATGTTTCGGAATGAGAAATTTAGATTATTAACTGGCAAAATGGCCTTCCGGCGGTTGGGATGTAGAATAGTAACGCCGATCCTTTTCCGGTCCTCTCTTCACCAATACAGGCTGCAAATTATAGACACCCACAGAGGTCTGTCACTACTACACAGACAGGAGTCAAGCAGGGCAATCAAGGTAAACAATCAGATGCCATGAAGCAAGTAAGGAGCGTAAGTTCTCAGGTGAGAGGACCCAGTGCTGACAACGAATTCAATGAATGATTAACAGCTCGATTGAATGAATACTGAGAACTAAGTACAACATTGCTCCTCGCGTTGGTATCTACAATTAAAAAAATAAATCAGGCTCCGGAGTGCTGTTTCATCATTCCAATTGATTTGTAGCAACAGTGAAAATGACAAACTTTACACAGACTGTGAAGTTAGCGTACTTGACGACGACGCATCAAGTTTCCTTTTTACCGCAGCTTTTCGACCTGGTCTTTCATCAGTGTTTGAACTATCATGGAGCTTGCGAGAAGGATTGAAGGTCAAAGAATCCAGCTCCTTTTTACACTTTTCAATCGCAGATTTCTTCGCTTGCTGTCAAGATAAGGTCTTTTGTGAGTGAAGCGAGCGTGTATGAGCAGGGTGAACTTACTTTCCGTGTATTACAGACCAGACAAGGTACTGGAAAAAAGTTGACGCAGAAGGGCCAAGAATAATCTAACTCAAGGTGCTTGCATACGTAAGGGCACTCAACTTCTAGACATTTGCTAGTTGACACATGCCAGAGAAGAATTATAAACCAGCGTAGAATAGTCTTATCAATTGTATTTACCAGGCTTTTTTCAAATTGTTGAACCCGCTCGCGACAAACATTGATTTCCATCTGCAAGGATTGTTGTCTAGCACCCACATTAACACTTTGCTGTTCCAACACCTCTTGCTGTCGGGCACGGACTGCTTGTGGTTGCCAGACCTGTATGGCTATTGCTGATCGTCTGAATTACATCGTGAAGAAAAATGTTCAAACAATCAGTCTACAGTGCTCAAAGAGTATCTGGGATTAACATACACACAACTATCTCAGACTGTGTGACTGAAAAGGCAGCATTCCGCAAGGACAAAGGTGAATCATACGAAGTGAGAATCAGTGTTCTTCCAAAGAATTGAAAAGATGACAACACACCTCGCTACTTCAAAACTTTTCAGCTCCGCTACGGTCGCGACAAGCTTCCTGCGTTCTACCTGAATATCCAATTGATATTGTTGAGCTTCCTTTTGCAGCACTGCCACCTGACTTTCTACCCTTAGCACGCGCCGCCTGTGTGCAGCCATTATGGCAGCCCTTACTTTCTCGAACCTGAAAAGACAGTGTGTGTTCACTAGATGAGTAAAACATAACAGATGCCACGTAGTGTAGGCCTCGAACATTTCTTCATTCTTTGAACATTGCATGTACTATACTACCATGCTTTGGCCAAAGAAACTGCACCAACCATCTTTTTGACGATACACGTTTTTCTAACATCGAGATGACAATTAGGTACGTAGGTTCTCTAAACAAAATCATACTACCATGTTGAAACAACAACAGAACTTGCAGTTGGGATAGAAATATCGTGTATGACTCCCTGCGTTTTGTACAAATTCTGTTGCTACCTCACTTGATAAGAATGCTCTCAACACATCACTAGTGCCAAATACAAATAAAACAACAAAAATATAGAAAAATAAACAAAATATAAGAAAGGGATTGATTTAGTTCTGGGGTAAGTAACTCCAGCCGCTGAAACACCCGATCATTAAAGCAATTGGGTGGAGAAACTTACCGAATTCTATACAAATCTCTAAAAGCTTTTGCATCATTTTCCTTCCGTGCCATGCCAGGTTCCACAACCAAGTTCCGCGACGAAGACCCGACACTGAGCTTTGCTTGATCTCGCTCCCACAAAGGGCGCCATATGCAGTCAAAATAAGAAATTTTTTTGATGCGACGACACACAAACGCCAAAGAACACAAATCCCTGTAATCCAGAACTTCTTTCTCTATTCCTAGACCTAAAATCTTCGTCCAAAGCTCATCCGGTAAACACCCCATACTGAACTTGCAACACCTGGGCATGTCCAAAGACCATTGAAATTCAGCCACTCCCTCCTTCCAAACAACGAAAAAATTGTAATTTGGAGTAGAAGAATGCAAAATTTTCAAAGCTTCATTTGCATATCCCAAAAGCTTGAGTCCACGCTCTTGCACATGTGTTGCTGCGAGAACCCTGTTGGTGGCAGCTGGAGGTAGACGACGACAGTTTCATGCAGAACTGTCGTGTTTTGATGACGGTTTCAAGGGCCATGACACGTAGAAGGGCGAGGCCATATCCTGTACAGTTTGGTGTTTTTATTTATATATGTATTTGACAGATTTTTTTCCTGTTAGTTTTATTTTTATTTAGTTGTTACATTGAAGTTTTTTGACGCTGGAACACATTTCTATCTATACCTATTATAAACTCACACCTAATTCAAGTTTCACTTCCTTTTAAAACACTGCTATACATCTGATGAAAAGAAAAAGAAAAAAGCACTACAGGTTTTCGGGTTTGCAAAGAAAATGAACAAAAATCGCAAGACACACTAATCTTGACATCTAATAGTTATAAGAAGATCCCTTAGATTCATCACGGGCTCCATGGAAATTCATCCACGGAAGATGGATGGATGAATAAGATACGATACTTTTTACTTTTGCGTTTCGGCTTCCGTTTACTTTCAGATCGCAGTGAAGCAGGGAAGAGCCTCACCATAGACGCGCGGAATGTGGTGTCGGATTCTCGAGGCGAGCTGCGCAGCTCGCAACGATGCAAGCAAGGAAGGAATGCGTGGAATTAGAATCGGAATAGACTTTTGTTACCCCGTGAATCACGACCCATCAATAAATCTTACTCACTTTCTCTCACTCTCGGTCGTCTTACCAGTCCCTTCCCCCCCAAGTGCTGCCCTTGCTGTCTACATTGCGCTGTTTAATCGGTGAAACCATGGTCAGGAAGCACTGTAGGCTTACTTAGTACGGGGAGTTGGTGGATGCCGCAGTTCCCAGGCCGTTGCCTTGTGTGTCTCGGAAGAAACCAAGATCGAGCACATTTGTGTCAAGCTGTGGGTGTAGTGACGGCAATTGCCATGGAATAGGGGAAATGCAGATGTGGAACGGGCCGTTTTGATGGCGTTCAAATTCAAGTGATTTATCTGGGTTGGAGGTCAGTTGGGTTTTACTGCTGTTGTATGCATCCGCACTACAGCCAGCGGATTACGGTGACACAGTTGAACATGTCGATTCTGGGTCGTATCTAGTGGACCAGACGGAGAGTGACGCAATTGTAATTGAACATTCGAGTTGTGATTATGGAACTGGGTTAGTCATCCCGTGCCTCCTGGAGCATACTAATTGGACTTCATTGAGCGTGATGTACTTGGCATATTCAACTGTGGTACGTTCCCTACGTTACCTATACTATTTGGTTTAGGTTGTACTGAACAAGTGTTATTCCAATGGGTAGTTTCAGAGGTTCTGCACAAGAAGGGAAGATGTGGAAAGAAAAAAACAATTCTTTATCTTCACAGAAGTAGTAATGTTTTACCAAAATCTCGTAATCCCTCTTGCAATTTTCTGATGAGGATAATGTACTTTGTGCAGAATTTCATACAACTCGCGCCTCGACGTGTACTTGGGTTGAGTGCAGTAAACGAGCACTTAATTCATCGAATCTCCTGGCGGCTAGTAACACTACACGAGTCCATTTTGGTTCACGGGGTAACAATGGCTCTAACCCAGTATTTAAAATTCTCGACTGCCAACAGAGTTACATGTACGTTTACTCGAACACTACCTGACTCACCGCCGTCTTCTGCTCTTCATCACCTTCATACAGATTAAAATGGTTCTGGAATCATGTGAAAGAAATTCGTTATGATGTTGGTTACGGCGGCACTTTGTTGATTCGTCTGAAATGACCTCTTTGTGGTTTTGTGATACTTTTACGTTTTAAAGATCTTTTCGTAGGAGAATGGGTTGTTCAGGATTTCGAATTTGAAACTAGCTAGAATTCTCGAGTTTTGATTCTACACACAAAGATCTTAACCTTGAGAAATTCTGTTGTGCTTGGCTCTTAAAGGTACACCAGAATGTATCAAAGATTGCTGTTGATTTTCATGGATTCTTTACCTTTTGTTAACAGGAAAAGGGCTGAATTTCCAGCCTTGAAGCAAACCAGCATGATGATGGATAGCGGAGATTGTTTGTCCAAATCTCCCGACGCCATCCACGCCAATTTAGCCAAGACAACACATGTTCATGTCACATACCCAGTTTTCGACCTTGGAGTTCGGCCTTGGTATGGTCCTTATTACCTTCAAACTCATGAATTTGGTTCATTCTTATGTTTGGCCTCACTGGTGATTTTGAACTTCGCGCAACTCCAACGTGACCGGGCCGTTATATATTCACATGAATTTATTATATATCGTCATTCGTACATAATGATCTTTACCTCCTGTTGGCAGGTACAGGGTTGCTCCGCCAATAAAACAACAAGATTTTGATAGATTGTGGGAGCTCTATGTCTAACTTTGTGAAATCTGAGGGCACCACCAACTTGAATGTGAGACAAGAAATATTATGTGGGTTCCTGGAGGCTCTTGTCTCTGGAGATCTTGTGGACATCCTCTCTTTCAATTCCAATGGAGCCAAATTCGTTAATAAACAGGCAACATGCACAATATCATAGTTTCATCTTAGTCAACGTAACAGATCCTAAAGTTAACTGGATACTTTGGGATGAGATGGTTTGTTCTTGTGATTTGAGACTTAGCATATTGTACTTATGAACAAGTGAAGTATTGCTTCGAAATATTGCGTTCAGGTTACATAAGCGTCTTTCTTCGTGGTCAAACATCATAATCGCCGACAATCCTGCAGACGTTGGGGGATCGAATTTATATGCAGCTATTCATGATATTATACCAACATTCCAACTTAACACATTATCGTTGAAGGTTATCCTGGTACTCAGCGATGTAGATATTGAACCTTTTCGTCTTGAGCCAAATTTGTTGGCTGATTCTCAAATCAGATTTATGTTCTACATGTTACCTGACAATTTCGACTCTGATCATCGTGAGTTTTTAGCTCTTAAATCAGTTATTTTCGATAGCAATAGCCACTTCGAAGTCTTGGATATAGCATCCACAATGAGCCCTTTGTACTGGTTACAAAGATATTTCTCATTTCTTGAGGACACAAGGTTCGCGTCAACTCCTGAAAAGTACACGAGGATGCATTCGTTGGCATTTCGGGAGATGTAATCCCAGCAGTTGCTACACCCTCAGGTAAGAAGTTGGCACGATACTTTCCGAAGCTAAGTTTTGGAGATTTTCATACCGAGGAACTGTCTCGGAAACTGTTGAAGTTCGTACTTGTGGCGTCATGACATATTCCCAGAGATGATGTTGTACACCACGTAGAATTAGTAACATATGCAATGCAAATGCCATGCAAGTGCAAATGATGAACATTTCAAAGAAAAGATATACGATGAATGCTCTCAACTGTCTTCAAAACTTCATTCGCCTTACAACCCCAAGGTAAGTACTTCTTAGCGAATCATATTGATTGGTAACCAACTTCCTCTGAAAATTTAACTTGGTTAAAATTAAACTTTAATGGTAACTCTTTTGTTTCAATTTTATTTAGTATATTTATATTCAAAGATCTTATAATCAGGTGATGTATTTTTGTGCATAGTTGAAAGAACAATGTTTAATTATATAGTTGAAATATCTGAAATGTTTATTTTTAAAGTTTTTGGTTTAGGATCATTTATAATTGCTGGAATAGAATATTTTCAAAAACTTGTTTTTAAAACGTTTGTGATGTTTTTGTTGCCTTGATATAGGATATGAATTTCCATCCCTTTTCGAAACAAGTGGATTCATCTTTTCTTGAAAAGACTTGCACATGATTTTTCCCAGCTCAAGACATATTGTGAGTCTTGTTCAACACCAGTTGGCTTTTATGAAAAATCTTAAATGAAACATTCTGTCACAACGGTAATGCTTCGTTTTATAGTAATTCTTATAATTTTGACATTTAATAAAAAAGAAAGTGTATATTTGTTCTTTTATTAACCACGAATTTCAGATCCTAATCACATACTCAGTGTTCCAATTATAATAGAAAAGATTATTAAAAATGTTGTTGTAAGCTCACTCATTGAAGAATCTTCTAGAAAGCCTCCTAGAAAATCTTAAGAATTACATTTCATGTATCAATGTGTCGCTTTAAAAATCGTTCTCATTAAAGTCAAGAAAGATCTCGAGAAGGATGTATGTAAATTTAGACGAATTCAATCTAAATACGACTACGTGAAGCATAACCAAGAATTTGAATGTGTGTGCCTGAGAATCTTTGGTAAATTGCCAATTTTACTAAGAAGAGCAGAGTTGTTATTGAGAAACTGTTGTAAAAATGGCCACCAGTTTTGGATTCGAAATGTTATCATTCAGACCATAAGCCATGAAGACTTTATTGATATAACTTCAAGCTTTGAGTGTTCTTCATCACCATTTGAGATCTGTGTCTGATAAATCTTGGATTGGAGTATGCCCACCGAAATGGTTACCAATAACTAAAACTGATATTGATAAAGATCTATCAAAGCTTCAGAAGTCTTACATCCTTCACTCGGAATACACCTAGTGGTGATTTTAATTTTTAGCATGTTATTTTTAAACTTGGAGAGGCATACTTCCCAATTCAAGCGACAGAACCAATCTGTCTGAAATTGATGAACAAATACTTATGCAAGCATCTTTTCAAAAATTGGATCGAACCCTTGTACTGGGAACTTCTACATCTCTAAAATCTGAAGACGTACCACGTGTAGGTCAGACCAGTTTACGGAACATGAGAATGTAAAACATCTCCAAATATCTTCCGGCTTCCTGCCTGTGCAATTTGGAAACAATCTTTCATAACTCGTAAACCCCGGAGAGTCTCATTACACGTTCGGCATATAGTTTCCACGTATACCTGCAAAGAGACACACCTACACAGATCTAACAGACCCTGATTCAAATATCATCTTCGATGAGAATTCTACGAGTTTTCATCACATGTGGAGTGTATGCGTTTTTCAACCAGTATTTTACCCTTAGCACGTTGCGCCTTTTGGCAGTCCTTTTGGCAGCCCTCACTTCCTCGAACCTGAAAAGACAGTGTGTGTTCACTAGATGAGTAAAACATAACAGATGCCACGTAGTGTAGGCCTCGAACATTTCTTCATTCTTTGAACATTGCATGTACTATACTATCATGCTTTGGCCAAAGAAACTGCACCAACCATCTTTTTGACGATACACGTTTTTCTAACATCGAGATGACAATTAGGTACGTAGGTTCTCTAAACAAAATCATACTACCATGTTGAAACAACAACAGAACTTGCAGTTGGGATAGAAATATCGTGTATGACTCCCTGCGTTTTGTACAAATTCTGTTGCTACCTCACTTGATAAGAATGCTCTCAACACATCACTAGTGCCAAATACAAATAAAACAACAAAAATATAGAAAAATAAACAAAATATAAGAAAGGGATTGATTTAGTTCTGGGGTAAGTAACTCCAGCCGCTGAAACGTCGTTCATTCCGACCTCAATTTCTTCTGAAACACCCGACCATCAAAGCAATTGGGTGGAGAAACTTACCGAATTCTATACAAATCTCTAAAAGCTTTTGCATCATTTTCCTTCCGTGCCATGCCAGGTTCCACAACCAAGTTCCGCGACGAAGACCCGACACTGAGCTTTACTTGATCTCGCTCCCACAAAGAGCGCCACATGCGGTCAAAATAAGAAATTTGTTTGATGCGACGACACACAAACGCCAAAGAACACAAATCCCTGTAATCCAGAACTTCTTTCTCTATTCCTAGACCTAAAATCTTCGTCCAAAGCTCATCCGGTAAACACCCCATACTGAACTTGCAACACCTGGGAAGTTCCGAAGAGCATTAAAATCCAGCCACTCCCTCCTTTTAAACAACAAAAACCATCGTGACTCGGAGTAAAGAAAGCAAAAATTTCAAAGCTTGATTTGCATGTCCCAAACGTATGACTCAATGCGGGAATTAACACCATGGGAATTCCCGCCTAAAACTTTTCTAATGTGTCTGGAATTCTCAACAGAAACTCTTCAGCTTTCATCAGTTGTGGACGAAACCTTGAAAAGCTTGCAATCCGATTGTTCAGCATCAAAATCTGTGCTGACAACCAGATACAATAACCTCTTCACACTCACCTTGTCAAACAATAGTAATTATGAACGGCTGCTTAAACTGAAACATTTCACGCAGAACAATTGATTATACTCACTCAGTACCTTTCCTCGGTAGGTATGAACTCGAAGGAACTGAAACGAAGGCTCCATGCTCTCCGGAGAATGAAAAAGCTCGGGTGACAAATGACGATTCAGAAACTCCACGCCGTGCCCATTTGACGCGCACACACTCCCAGATTCCAGGCCTCGGACGGACAGCCAATCCAACCCAAGGGGCCGAAACTATGGCTTCCTGTACATGCGAACTCTTCTTCCAACATTAGGAACAGAGCTGTCGTGAAGTATTTTGATCTCACGTTACATGAGAGGTAAACCCCGTGCTTCAAGCGCTAAATAGGGACGTTGAACCCAAAGGCAGCTCTTGGAAACTTTAAATGGCAATTATTGATAAGTTTCCCAAAGGCGCTGCTCTTTATGTCGTCAACATTGCCCTGCAGTAGGTTGAGAAGTTGATTACGATTATCCTGCAAAGAGTTCTAGACTCGCTCTTTCATGCTGGTAATACGCCGAAGCGCTTTCCCCTGGTGCACCATGTTGAGGACTGGAAAGCTCAATTTAGGCTATCCGTCAAACCTGCAAGGTCAGTGTGTTCACTTGAGGAGCTCGATTCAAGAGCTTCACTGTGACGCGAGCGGCGAGACAAATTGATTACAGGAATACAGATATCTCACTACGTTGAAGGCAAACATCTTGCATTAGTTTCAAAGACCTCTCATCCATAACTGAAATAAATAAATAAATAAATAAATAAATAAATAATAAACTATTGATCTAACTCAGAGAGGGAGCTTCGACTAAGGAATTAAAATATTGATATGAGCAGGCTATGAATTCATGAAGGCGCAAATACAAACACAAGATTAAATACTCAAATCAAGCCATGTCAAGAAGTCCAACAACGGACAACTAATTCAAACTCCGTCCAACATTTCTTACTTACAGAAATCAGCTCTTGCTCGGCGAGAACGCCACCAATTGCCCCACAAGGATGTCTGTGTCTGAACTCAAACCCCTCAACTGATCAACTCGCCTCAACGCCACAGGAAACGAGGAAAACCACAACCACTCGCGACTGCAAACAACACATAACAGAAAAAAGAGAGACAAGACAGCATTGCAATTCAGCGAGATGTGTCGCGGATCTCATAGACAGAAATCGATAAGTTGAAGTATAAAGAGCGATTGATTGAAGGAAAACGATATTGTCGCACGCGACGACAATCTGTACTGATATATGCAGTGCGTTGAAGACGCCTATCTTACATCCATCGAACCTGTCCGGATCAACGTGATTCATCGTTGGCGATTGCAAATAGGATGCGTTGACGCATCTGAGCATGAATCTTTCGCCTGAGATTACCATCCTGCGAGTCTTCCTTGCCATTCCTTGCAGTTTACCCCTGGATTGGATAGCGGCAATGTGTGACGGTAATGTTCCCATGCTGACTGGTCGAAGGGCAAATTGGAGTACAGCAGAAGTATTATACTTAGGTGTGATACGACACTGCAACATTCTAAGATATGAATAGTACATCGTCAAGTAAATTTAAATTTAAACTGCATGAAGAGAATTTTTGTCTTTTGTTACGGAACGCTGATTACCTGTTACTTTAAATTATTTGAAGACGTTACAGCGCTTGATTGATCTTTACGCCCTTCGAGTGGGACAGATTGAAGAGCCGAGAAGTATACAAATACCGAGTAGTCTCAGAGCTCAAATTTCTAACGGCTGAGCTTCTACTCCATCAATTTGGTCACTTGGAGCAAATGAAGGGATCTATTGTTGGCGAGACCAAACGCTTCGGCTGGAAAAGGGTAAATGTGAATAACGCTCATTAAATGTTGAGCAAGTAAGAGCATGATAGTACGTATTTACAATAATTACCAACCACTAGAGTCATCAAACGTGAGAGATATCCTAAAATCGCATATAATATATAATGAGGAAATATTCAATCCCCTTCATCGACTCGTAGTAGAGAAACATGGAATGAAATAATTGTGGTCATTTCAGGACTTGGTAGCAAGCAAAAGTCCGTTCATAATTCAGTACCAATGTGCACAAACAAGCAGAGATCGTGGGAGTTGGGAGTTGGGAGTTGGGGCTGGAATGCATTGAAATGCTAACGGAAATAGAGAGGCTTCAAGTGCACACCTAACTGCAAACTATACTCGTGACAATTCCTGTAGCAACCAGTTTGTGTGAGCCAGTGTACACCTAGCTGCCACCGGCCAACACGGCATCTAATAATCCAAGGAAATGACCTTATCAATACATCGTACGCCGTGAATGCCACGATCACATGCGATTCCCACAACTCCCTAGTCCGAATCAGCAGAGAAAAAACATCCTGACCATATATATATATATATATATATATATACATATATATATAATCATATACATATCTGTATATATATCGGATATATATATATATATATATATATATACACGATCCATTCCAGCTTCTCCACACCCAATAGAAACTTCCTTTAACATGGCCTAAAGTAGAATAGCCTGAGGTAGAATGAAATCGTTGCGGTGTTAACCTACAATGGCAAAATCAACAGAGCGACAATGGAGATAAAACTCGAAGATAAAGTAGAAACCTAAAGACCTTGAAGACCACCACCTATTCCTCTCAAAATCGGTTGCGAGGTACCACAGACCACACTTTCTCCCCAGTTCATTCCCTGTCGACGTCATCACAGGAACAGGACATTGACCTATCGCAACCTACAAACAATGTGTTCCTACACATCTAAGCAATAAGTGCGGCACTGACACACGCGACCTAAACCTTGACAAACCAACACCACACCCAACAACCGAACAAGCGCACTTTGGTGGGTTCAAAAGAACCCCAAATTGATTTTATTTTATTTTTTTTGGTACTTTTTTGGTTTCATATTTGCATAAAATCTACACAGGGATTTCACAGCCTACGCCCTCTCTCCCCTGATTCTCCTGGCCAGTTGGATGTCTTTGGGCATAATTGTCACCCGCTTTGCATGGATGGCACACAAGTTGGTATCCTCAAACAAACCAACCAGGTAGGCCTCTGCTGCCTCCTGAAGGGCTAGGACAGCGTGGCTCTGGAAACGCAGATCGGTCTGCAAAACACACAAACGCAAGCTTCTCAGTCAACAATCACTCTAATACCTATTCCCGGTGCAACGATCTGGTTAAAACTGAATGCCTTCCCCTGTTAAATAAAAGGTGTGCACAATGTCCAGCAACAAACAGGATTTCGCTCAGAAAGTCAAACTTGTCGCCCATGAAGCAGGACCGTACCTTAAAGTCTTGAGCGATCTCGCGAACCAATCTCTGAAACGGCAACTTACGGATCAATAGCTCCGTGCTCTTTTGGTACTTACGGATTTCTCTGTACATCCACAAGTGAAGTTAGTAAGCAAGAACCGTAAAAACTGTTCAAATTCATACTCATAACATCAAACAAGAGCCATGAAAAATGTTCGGACACATGCATGCATTGCAACTAATGAATGCCAAACCAGACTGCTTACCGAAGAGCGACTGTTCCTGGACGATAACGGTGCGGCTTCTTCACACCTCCGGTGGTCGGGGCGGATTTCCTCGCAGCCTGAATTATGTGAACCCAATTCAAACATATGTCATCTGTGCACGTTCGCAATCACAGCATACCTTGGCCATCTCTCAAAGCTATCATTTAGCATTTATGCTGTACAAAGTTACGTGATGGCAGCGACACAGCAAAAATAGCGTACGCCTTGTTACCTTGGTGGCCAGCTGCTTCCTGGGAGCTTTACCTCCGGTAGATTTACGGGCTGTCTGCTTGGTACGTGCCATTGTGAAACTGCAACCAATACAGCGCGGTTCAGTTTGCGAATTAGCGAAAAGATTCAAACTCTACAAATGATTCCAGCCCCGGTTCCTGAGACATTTACTCTCAAGAAATACTAACAAGATCTCCAAGCCACGTCACCAAAAGTTGGACTGACGGCAAGCCCGAAAATAATATGAAAGAGGCAAAATACTGTAGCCATACTGTTGCCTTAGCCATAGGAAGCTTGAGCTGATGAGTCGATTAACATGTGGCTCGAGTCACCGGAGGGAAAACAATGTCTTAAAACCAAAACGTGAAAATAGGAACTAAAAAGTCACACACGCACAATCGCCAGACCCCGCACGGTTTCAAACATATCAACCATAACCGTATGAAAATTCGTCCATAGTACAAAACATAGCACAGAACGTATGACAGATACCTTGAACACGAAAGCGGAATCTCCGATACTCTCAAACTAGGGTTCTGACACTACAATAATAAATATCCAGGAAGTTGCAGAAACGTGCTCTCAGGAGTCCCTCGCCGTCGTGCTAAACAAAACCGCACGTTAACTGAAATATTTCTTACGCTAGTGCGGACATGGAACGTATCGCTCGCACGAAACATCAACTTACAAGGAGGTTCTGCAGGAAAACAATGCAGAAAACTCTGCAAACGGCACCACAAACGCCACAACAACAGCCTTAGCAAGGCCAATAAACCCACCTTGGGAAAACGAAACAATCGTGCGATGCAAAGAACAAGTGGAGAGCGAGCGCAAAGAAAACTTGAGCAGCACGAATACGGCTAGAGCAGAGTGATAAGGAGACGATGCGGTGGGTAGAAAGAAAATGAGGGCGAAGATGTGTACCGTGAGTGACGAGAAATAAGAAAAGGCGTCGCGCCTTAAGGACAATCACGAAGCAGAGCACGGGCGGTCTGGGCCCTTGGATCCTCCGAGATCGATGTTGGATTGACGTCTGACGGCTTGGTTTTCCGAACCTGGTGCCAAACCTGAGGCGCAGCACCCGATAAGCCCTATATTTGGCGGTTCTTTTGGCGGAGGAGTGTCCAGCTTTAGCGGGCAGACCTCAAAACTTGAAATAGCGGATCCCAATGACATGGTCAACGTCGTAAGAAGAACGCATGACACCAGTCAACTGTAAGATTGTGATCGCAAATCCCTAACCCTAACTAATCCCTGACACCACTTCCAACCCCTACTTTACTCAACTGGGTATCATAGATAATTGTATTCTTGTGCGTGACTTGAGCTAGGATAAGATTGTAACAAACATTATAATCACTTAGGAAAATGTGATATAAATAAATGGTGAATTATAAAATGAGAGTAATAACAACAAATAAATACTTATCAAAATAAATCTATATGGTAGTGACACGATGAGCTGTATTGTATTGTACAATACAATACAATTGTATAGTAACTATACACAATTGTTACAATACAATTGTTTGCAAAGTATAGTTTATATTATTTCAGATGATGTTAACTTTTACATCCTGACAATATACAGATATGTAAATATGTATATATATGCATGTATATATATATATATATATATATATTTGTGTGTGTGTGTGTGTGTGTGTGTTTTTTTTTTTTTTTTTTTTTTTCATTTTGAGAGAAGTGTATTTTCAAAATTAACTTGTAAAAAATTAATTTGTATGTATTTCCTGTTAAACCAATGAGTAATAGAAGAAGTAAAAAAATTCAATGGCTCTAAGAAATGCTATTGTTGATTTTTAATGGTTAAAGTTACCAACAGCCAACTTCTTTAACTTTAAAACTAATCATATTATTATTATTATTATCATCATTATGTTTAAAGTATCTATCGTGTAAATTGTTTTTGGTATAAATAAAGACATATAGAAGCCTTCTCTTTCATGGAACATGGATGAACACAAATGAATGAAGGGGACGGATGGACGACAGTCCCAAAGTTTGCAGTACCCCAATGGCACAAATTTTCACTAATCTTTACTAAAATAGCAACATGTGTGAAATTGATAAGAGAGCAAGTTTATGAAATAATAGACACATTTGTGTTCACAATATATATGCAATAAGTACACAAATCATTTATAATGATTAGACATGACCAATTAGGTATCATGAATATATATATATATATATGTATATATATGATTCAATTATGTACAACATTTATTTATATATGTGTGTATATTTACAAACACACAAATCATTAAATAAATAAACAAGTTCAAGTACATTTTAAAGATGTGGCGATGCAAGTCACGATAATTTAGTCTAATATATCAGCATCTGAAACAGCATACAAATTAATGAACCATGATATAGAAAGTGTACAGCAAAATGTCAGCCAATAGGAGGGCTGGAACGCTTGACATAGAAGCCGTGGGATGGAATACGATTCCCCCAAAGAATCCCAGAAAGAAGTTCAAACGAGACTTATTCACAGCTGCCAAAGCCTGACTATTCCCGCCACTTCCCATTCCAGGTTCGGTTCCAATCTGGAAAGCCGAACTTCCGGACCTCTTTTCAGCGTCGATGCTGAAGAGAGATCCAAGGGCCTATGTTCGGCGCGGCTTTTGGTTTTCCGGCATCCCGTGCGCTCCATTCTTGTGTTTAAGACGTTCTCGTTCTCGTTGCACATCTTTTCGAACGCATTGTCTCCGTTGCAAGTTGCTCGTGCCGCTCCCGCAAATTCTAGTTTTCGGTACGCTTTCCCCTGCCTTCAGTGTTATTCTTGTGGCAACGTTGATCCGTCAGTGTAAGGTGCGTTAGTATGCCGCTCGGATGTTGTTGTGATGTCGGTGATGCCACTTGCGCAGGTTCTCCATCGTATTTCTTCAGAAACCCTCATTTGTTTCTGTGTCGTACGCGCGGGTTGTATTGTGACCGCTCTCGCCGTGCGTATTTCTTGTTGTAGTTTTTGATTTTGTTTGCGCACGGTTGGTCAGTGGCTGTGTACACTTCCTGGACTGTGTGAGTTTTGTGTGTAGCAATCAAACCCTCGTTGCAGAGACGCGGGAAACTTTGCTTCTTGCCCGAGGTTTTCGGTGGCTCTCAGCATGATTCTACGCCACTGAGTTTTTTTCGAGCTTAACCCTTTGTGGTTAAATTTGTAACTGTATTGTTTCTCCTGTCAAATAGTCTTGTGCTGCTTGTATATTTCGCAGCAGCGTTGGTTTGGTTAGAGCCGGTTATTCCTTCGATATTTCAGATTTAGTTGTCATCTTCTAATTCGAAGACGATCGCGTCTTATTGGTAGTGATACCGTCATTGTTCAGGTTATTGTCGGGACTTGGAGGTCATGTTTCGACGACTGAGTGTACATGTCGTAGTGAAGCAGATTCGTAACAGTTAAAGTTGATGTATTTAGACTTCTAACGGGGGAGTTGAACTGTGGTATGGTGGTCGCAGTGTCACGATGGCGCGTACCAAGCAGACTGCACGTAAATCAACGGGAGGGAAGGCTCCCAGGAAGCAGCTGGCCACAAAGGTACGTCGGCGTAGGTGATGTGTGGAGTATACTGGCTTGTACTTGATCGTGGGTAGGGGTTTGTGGGGTTGAGTGTGAGAATTGTGTTGATAGGGGATGTAGGGGATGTATTGGCGTGAGCAGGATATTGAATGTGACAAGTGTGTCTGTAAATGTTGCAGGCTGCGAGGAAGTCCGCCCCAACCACGGGAGGAGTGAAGAAGCCACATCGTTACCGCCCAGGAACAGTCGCTCTTCGGTGAGTGGGTTGGGGTTGGGTTATGGGAGCATCTGTGTGCATGTTAATGGCACGTGAAATTGTCAGAGGTTTGGCTGAGTTAATGTATTCGGTGTTCAACTGAATGAAGAGTTTTGTGCGCCATTGTGCAGGGAGATCCGTAAGTACCAGAAGAGCACGGAGTTGCTGATCCGCAAGTTGCCATTCCAGAGGCTTGTCCGTGAGATCGCACAGGACTTCAAGGTAAGGGCGTGCTTGATACGCAACATGGTTAGTTTAGTCAGAGGAGGGCGGCGAATGGGTCGTGTTTATGTGTGTTGTGTTGAGGGGATGTAGGGTGATGGACGTTCAGTGAGCATGGGTTGGTGTGCCACCGGTGTCGTCAACTGAGAGGCTTGCTTGTTTGTTTTGCAGACCGATCTGCGTTTCCAGAGTCACGCCGTGCTGGCCCTCCAAGAAGCCGCTGAGGCATACCTAGTGGGTCTTTTCGAGGATACCAACTTGTGCGCCATCCACGCGAAGCGAGTGACGATCATGCCGAAGGACATTCAGCTGGCGAGAAGAATCAGAGGAGAAAGAGCATAGGCTTAGAAATACTTATGTACAGATTTTACAAAAATGTGAAACGATGAAAACCCCAAAAAAAAAAACAAAAACAAAAAAAAAGAATAAAATCAGTTTGGGGTTCTTTTGAACCCACCTAAGTGCGCTTGTCCGAGTATTATTGGATGCTATGATGGTTCGTAAAGGTTGAGCCTCGGTTATTTACGCTGCCCAAAAAAGCTATGACTTACAGGACATCTGTTACGTACGTTCAGTGTGTGAAAGCTTCAAGATAAGTGAAAATTGGTACGGAACTACGAAACTCATTATTATTTTTTTAAATTAGGTTTTAAGACGAGATCCCCTTCCGATGCAGAAACATGAGCTTGAACGCTGCGTTTACGTGGATTTGGAGTGCCTGTGACTATTGATGATGACGAGTGCGTTTAATTTGTTGCTTGGACAAGGCCTTCATCATTGTACATGCCTGTGTGCCAACTGGAAATTATACTCGTACTGATCATGAAAGGTCTTGACCGTAGCCTAGATAACGAGAAACACATGTTCAAAAATCAAAAGATGTAATTACTTAAGTTATTTGTATAATTCTGAATCGCTTGTACATGATGTCATTGGCGTCCATGTTCAGAAAAATGGAGTAACACCGAAACAATAATGACTTTTCGTAATATAAAACACCTGAGGCACTATTTGATGTATTCTCAGGATCATAGGAAGTATTTTAATTATTAAATAATACAATAACATCTTTAGTATATTTATAACTACTAAATCACTCATTAAATCTTATATATTAAATACACATTTAATAGTTACTAAATAAATAGCATGTGTGTGTTTCTCTGATTCTCTATATATGTACATACACTAGCATCAGGGGTCTTATTTTACTTTGGGAGTAACATGTCAAAACAAATTAATGTTGTGCTATAATATAAAATACAATAATGATTTACAATATAACTAAGAATTACACAAACATATTTTTATTGATAACACAATGTTTTTCTTATGATGAATAATAATAACAAAAAGAAATCCACATGCTCAAATTACAAAAAAATCTCATGGATTTTATTTGAGGTGTTTTGAAAATTATGTATGGATATAAAGCTTAATATATATATGTTTATGAAAAAAACTACAAATAAAATTTACCAAACATATATATATATATATATATACATACAATCACAATTATTATCAAATATTGTTGTAAGAAAAAACATTTTTTGAAATATTATTAGCAACTATATATGTTTATATGTGTATATATACACCTGAAAGATATACATACGTACATACATTTGTTACACAAATACATTGCAAGGTTTTTTTTAATATTTGTTAAATATTAATTTTATAAATTAACTATAAATTTATTTTAAAAAAAATTACGTTTAAATTTTAATAATTATATAATTATATATATTTATTTTATATTTTATAATGTATATATAAAATCTATAAGATTTTATTTTAAGTGGTTTGTTTGAGCATTAAAAATAATGGACTTAAAAAAAATTAATACCATCTTAATAATTCTACTTAAATTTTAAAATATAAGGATTAATCTTTAAGTTTTTATTTTTTTAATTTTTTCAATATTTTTTAGAATGACACATATCAAATAATGATGCTTAGGGTTTTCTAATTATAGATTTAAAAGATTTTAGAATAGAACATTTGCTATGAAATCATTAAAAATGTGTCATAGATTATGACAATTGAGTTAAGATATGTTCATGTTAATGTTAAGTTAAGATGCTAGCACTTTAATATTTTTGATGTTGAAATAATATGTTATTAATAAAATAATTATAATAATAATAAATATTTGTCTTATTATATTAATAATTATATTATTATCATTTAATTTATATTAAATTATGATATTTAAGTTATAAATATGGCTTCTTCTTGATGGACTATTGATGAGATGAGAATTGGTAAGGTGAAACAAATTTCTTATTGGAGGGGGTGTTGCACTCCAAATAATACCATTTGCTTCAAGAAGCAAACACATACCTTTACTAGGAACAAATATAAACTTCACTTTGCTATATTTTGACTTACTAAGTTTAAATACATTGTTTTTTACTATTTTATTTTTTTGTCTTTATTGGTGGAGTTTTTTTGTCTCATATTAGTTAATATAGGACAAATGCCACAATGTCCTATATTAGAAGGGTTTGATGATGCTTTAAATTATATTTAAAAATATATTATTTGGTAATAGTTGCATTATATAGACTTTTTTTGTGCAAATTATTTCAATTAAATGGTTTACATATACCTTTCAAATCTTCATTTTTACAAATTTGAGTTTTAATTTAATAAAATTAGAAGGTTGTTAAAGCCACACCCCCAATTTTGGGGTGATAATTAAAATATGATCACCCCAATTTTGGGGGTGATACTTAAAATATATATAATTTTGGGGTGATAATTAAAATTTTGGGGTGATAATATTTTAATTTTGGGTGATAGGAAACAAATGACAGGGATAGAGAATGAGGCATGGGGATTGGGAATGGGGATAGGGGACATGGAACAAGAGATGGAGATGGGGATGGATGGAATTGATCTTGAGACAATAATATGGGGTGTGACTCAAACAATATTGGAGTGTGGCTTTACAACTTACTAAAATGATTAATGTAAAATTTAAGACTTATAAAGATAATTAGAGAACATACCATTAAATAAAGTGTCAAATAATAGTAAAATTCAAAGTCATATTTTATTTAAACGTCTCTTAATCTTTGCAGCTTTACCAATCTATTTGTACAAAATCATCAAATAGTTATATATGTACAATTCTTTATTAATTAAAAGCAGCGAAATGTCTTTCAGTGTTTTGTGATTCTTTACACACAACATGGAAAGAATGTGATGAGATGACCTTTAATAATATTAGTTGGACGAGATAACAACTATGTATCTCAAAGTTGTGGGGGTTTTGATTCCCTTAAATACATTTAACTCCCACTGACAAAACCTTGGTCGGAGTAACACCAATGCTAATAACAGTAGGTTATTCAGTTCTTTTCAGCGATAGATTTTCTCCAGTTGTTTCAAACAAACAAAACGAAAAAATCAAATCAAGTCAAATACAAAAACAACAACAAAACAAAAGTACTAGGTACACAAAACATATTGACAACATCAAAATAAAATAAAAACCAGTGTTGTATCTTAGAAACATAAAAGTGAATGAAATAACTTCTACAGAATTAAAATAAAGAAAAATGAATTCAATTGCAACTCATTCTCATATATTCGTGCTTCACAAATAAGATTTGAGGCTGCATCTTCACATGTAAACATGTCATCAAATATAAGATTGCGTGATTCAACAAAAACACGCATTCCTTCAGGATATCAGATAGGTTATGCCTTGACACATAAATGATGACAATCATGTCATGCCTGCCGTGGTGTGTGGACGGTATAGAAATAAATAAGTAATATCCTTGATTCGAATATAGCTCTGCCACGTTACATATCAACCATGTGCTGATATTTGTAACCAGGTCAGCAGGGCTTTTGTTTCAAACCAATTGGGTGCATTTTGAACGGCTTTGCCTACGAAAACCATTACCACACTCCACGATTTTCTATTGTACAGCACATAAGCTGCGTCACCCACTAAACACAGCATTCCATTGTCAAAGAGTGAACACCCTAACCAGGCATTCCTCACAACCAAGTGGAAACTTGGACCCCCTTTATGTCCAAGGCACCCTGAAGATGCAAAACGAAGCCCACCAACTCCAACATGGCTGCTTTGCCCAACTCGTCGACAGCCCAAATTGGATGAGGTCTTCGAACTTAAAAGGCCAAATACTCTGCCATACAGCACCAAAACCAGTCAATCCCCCCGACTACGATACTAAATGCTTCATGTTAACAAAAACACTCACCGTAACAGACACGAGAACAGTAACCTAGCAGCACAAATGTTCCTCAATTAATAAGCGCATAACTACTAAGCGGGAGTGGACACCAACTCACCGCTGCTGACATACCAGTAATGAGCTGGTCGCTAGTCGATGATCACTGATGTTTTGTGAAGCTCACAGAAAGTCTCATACACGCCTCAAAGTAGGGCCATACTTGAACAAGCCCCTCAGTCCCCATTTTTGGACTTTCTCATACTTGTGCTCAAACCAACAAGGCATGCACATGTCGCCACATTGCATGCCTGCTCAAGTGACTCCACTCATGCGCCACGTCACAAGCCCTCATTCATCGTCGACCTGGGATCGGGGGCTTTAGTCCTGAACATCACCCAACTTCCTTCAGTCAAAAGGGTTGCAAAATCGCCACCAACATCAACAAACACAAACCTACGGAAACAAAATAAGCAGGAGTACCTACACATGAAAACCGCATGTAATACAAAACGCACCTTCCAACACATACATCTCGACCACCACCCCAACACCCAAGAAAACAAAACGAACCTAAGTAAAGCTCATTCGGATAGAATTGATTCTGAGGAATCGACCACTGGTGCTGCAGCTCTTCTCCCCCATAATAACGCTGATGTGGAATGCCGTGCATTGCGTAACCTAAACCTCCGTGACCTATACCTGCAGCCATTGCAATCCCTGTTGCAGCAGGGGCATTGGCATTCGGATCTCCTTGTCCGCCATTCACTCTCGATGCCGCGACACCACCAGAAGAATAAGCATTGTGAGGCGCCCCCATGTGTGGTGCCCTATTATCCTTCTGGGGAGACTGTAAAAGGCTCCCATGCGTACTCACATCGCTCTTCAGGTTCCCCACTCCCAACCCTGAAAAACGCGCGTCGGGATGTGCGTGAACCGTCCCATACTGCTGGTGGTGAAAAGAGTTCTGAAGCTGCTGTTGTTGAAACAGGAAAACCTGCTGACGCTGTTGAAACGATGCTGTTCCAGCAACTGCACCACCCGCTTCCCCGGACACCTGCCTCATGGACCCCTGATGGACAGGGTGCACAGGAGTTTGCTCTGGTGATATTTGCTGCCTCCCATGTTGCGCCTGTTGCTGCTGGTTACCTCCTGGTTGACGCTGCTGCTGAGAACCATGAGAAACCTGGGGGCCAAGTCGGCTCGGAGAAGTTTGACTCGGAGAAAAATGACCAGGCTTCTGACGTGGGTACCCAGACTGCGAGCTATTCGAAGACGCAAAGCTGTCCATGCTTGAAGTACTCACTCGCCCTTGGGAGTTCCTGCAACCACAGCTCACACCACAGCTGCGTCAAAATTCACAGCGAACAACCTATGCACTACACGTTACAGAGAGCACATCAAATCCTTCTAGCACTAAAACTAAAACTTGAATGTAAGAGTTGACATAAAAACATCAATCCATCCAACCAGTTATTTACCTCGAAATGAAAAGGCTCGAATGAAATCCATGAACTTTCGCGACGAGCCATGTAAGTGATAAGGAAATTAGGTTTGAGCCAAGCACATACCTCCTCGAAATGGCCCCATCGAAAACGCAGTCGCCCAGAACTCCACCGGCCCTACCAGGACCCTTTCTTGATCCAGATTCTTGGGCATCCTCGTTAAGTAGTTCATCACTGCAACCAAATTATAAACCTCAACATCACCGCACCCCCAGTCAAACCACTCAAACCACGCTAAATGGATGACTGCAATACCAGACTGCTACCAGCCCGCATGCATGCCGACTTACCGACCTACACATTATCACCACCACCACCACAAAATCCACTGCAAAAAAACCACGTGATCTAACAACACTCTCACTCGTCTGCTCCACCTCCAGATCCACCATGTGAAGACCACAACCATCCAAACACATCTACTAGCACAACCAAAACGCATTAAGTCCCCAACCAACCGTTCTCTCCTTCGAAATAATCGTACCGCAAAACCTCACGATCACACCTTAAATCCCTTACTTAAATCAACCCCATAATCAATCCTTACCTCATCCCACGGACAACCGGATGTCTCATCACTAAAGAAAACCCCAGGGGACCCACAAACAGTTCCAACATCCACTTTCCGGACACGAAAATTCGCAAAAGAAACATGTCATCTTCACCATATCTCACCTGAAATCGGGATCCCAGTGAATGCTCACTGCAGAATCCTCATCTCCACCGTCTATGGAACTTCCCGGTGATAGATGAGCACCCAGCGTGCCTGGAACGTAACCGGATGACCCTCGCTGCAACTGTGTCGTCCCCGTACTACTGCCATTTCGAGCACCCCGAGAGTGAGGTACAGGAGGACCACCTCTCCGTACCCTGCCTTGACCCTCGAAATTCAGGTTCGATGTTGCATCCGCGTTCGCGTTTCCACTGCCGTGCTGAAGCCTCGACCAATGCGTCAACTCTTGCTGCTGCACCTGCTGCTGCTGTCCGTGCCCACCGGAACCAGGGGGTGCTTGCCAAGGTCGCCTCCGATGAAAATGACCTTGCGCAGCGTTCGCATTACCCACTGCTGTCTCCAACAATTGCCGCGCAGGCGATGCTGGACCATACCAGTTCGGGGAACCCACTTGAGATTGAGATCCATTAGACTGGAAGAAACTAGATACCGGCGACGAAGGAAACGATCCTGGTGACGCACCATAAGGACCAGGAGACTGCTGATACAGGAATGGATGCCCAAACCCAGATGGGCTCGCTCCTAGATTGAGCGATGGGCTGGCCCCCAGATTTAGTGACCGGAGAACTGGATGTTGCGGATGCATAGATGGTACGAAGGGTCTCCCTTGCCAACTTGCTTCCGGAGAGCTACCCACAGCTGATGCTTGAGCATTCATACCCATCAAATGCGCACTCGATTCGTCCACATAACTGTCGAAGTTGCCGTCCATCGTCACGCCTTCTCCATAACTCCCAAAACTGCCCACACTGCCATAGCTACTGGCTCGCGAAAACTGATTCGGGTGCTGCTGAGGATTCGCACCATGCCGAGGTCCTGAGTTCAATCCTAAAACCTGATTTGCATGCGCAGGTTAACATCTCTCATGCATATTGCACACTCCAAGAACCGCGTCATTCATTTCACGCCTTTCATCACCCTTAAGTTACCACAAATAGCTGAATTCACAAACCACCGTCCATTTACTCAGATTCAATCCATGCCTATATCAAACTGATCCATTGGTATTCATACAACAATAAACACACAAACTTCAAACGCTGCGGCCTTCAGTATCCCTCAACCGCCTGCGTGATCATAAAGATATCATATGCGACACTAACTTACTTGGGGAGAAAGGCCTGCACCAACCCAGTGCCCCGCCGCGCCTCTGTGATCTATAAGAAGACTTTGATTCACGGGCTGCACAAGTCACCACGCATATTAGCAACCTCCAATATTCATTTCCACGCATCTTTGTTAACAGTACCACGCCATGACATACACAGATAAGCCACAAACAACCTCATCCCACGTCAAGGAGTTCGTCGCAGCCATTACCGTCCGTGGAGTCTCTGGAACGGGAACGTAAGGTCCAGTGAACGGCTCGTCAGTTATAAATGGATGTTGTGCGGCCTGCACACGAGGATCACCAAACCACAGTGAACCACCAACACACTCCGGCTACCTCATAAAATCGCACTAGCTTTGGAATCACAAATAAATAACAGTACTATCATTCCATCATCAAAGTATTTACATCCATATGAAACCCATCCCTTCTAAACAACTCACAAAACCGTCAAGTCCCGTCACCTGCTGAGGTGACCACCTCCTCCTTGGGTCACATTCGATCAAGCCCTTCAGAAAGTCCACAAAGCTCTCTCGAGCCCGAATCTCTGTACGATGAAAAGCAAAAATCAATTTCTCAATGAGATCACGGAAACCAACTCCACACCGTGCGTTTACCCGTGTGACATACATGACAATCATTATGAACACTGCAATCTGAGCAATTCCATTAAACACAAAGGACAGAGGTGCACCCGCTACCAACTTCCAAAGCACATGTACATCAACGAACAACCGCTCAACAGCTCCTCTAACACCGCAACTCAAAGTCATCAAACAGCAAATGATGCACCACCTCTAATCTGCTCGGCCGCTGACATGGGCTTCATGTGAAAACCCATGATCACTTCCGAAAGAGTGCCATGAAAGTACCTCCTCCCAATCTCTGGTTTCTTCTGATGACGCTGCACGACCCACCCACGTCAAGAGTTCTACCCGGTCATAACTGCACGGGCAACGTAACAGTCCAGACACCAAAATAGTATCCTCAACAGGCTGCGTCAGTCCCTAATATTCAAGCGGTGCTGCCAGCTCTGGACTCTTTCCATAACCTGCGAACTGTCCAAACACTAGCTCATGCTCTATTCAAGCACCCACAACAGACACCGCGAAAACATTACAAGACCTAGGAACACAGCAAGTCGCGAAATCTAGATCATGTTCGGCTTTTGAGTAATTCTGTCTACATTGTTACGTCTAATACCAACGTAAAAGCAACAAGAAAAACATCCATTCGAAATAGCACCCCAGAACTCATCGTCTCTAACGCAGTGTAACGTGAGACACTCCAACGAGGCATATCAACACACTAGTATGTAAATCAACTAAACATCACATGCTCGAAGCACCATTATCCAGTCACCAAATCCAACATTGCCAAAACCATAGGGGCACATACCGCTTCATATTCCTCCACTGTCAACAGCTGATAAGCGCTGCGGTTGTGATCAGCATGAGGGGCAGCCGTCAGAAGCTTGAAGAACTTGTTGGTATACTTCGCATTCCTCAAGATATGATCGCTAGATTGACTCCTGCATCAACATCGCCCACACCATGCAGCAGTATCAGATATCATCGCCAACTCACGGTTGCTTATCCACCTAAGTACGCTCATCATGCATCAGTGCTGATAACCAACGGTGGAACATCAACTTAAATGCCAACTGAGAGCAACGCCACAATCTTCGTCCCCAACTCATCGACGGCTTTGTCACAACTACGCCAACCACACTTGGCCTATCCCAGCATCATTACTTCGTCACAAATATAGAACATACTCAAGTTTCTCCTTCATGAACAGCAGCATGTCGAAGTCGCAAGCTCCAGGGAACAGTGGCAGTCCCAGGAAAAGCTCAGCCGCCACACACCCTAACGACCACATATCAATAGCGGCCGTATACCGGTGACCGAGCAGTACCTCGGGGGATCTGTAAAACCGACTCTGCACTCATTCAAACCACAATCCAAGTTAGCAAAATCATCCACTACAGCATACATTACATCCAACTTTGCACAGATCGGCTCTCTCACATACGTAAATCGGCACTACACCACGTTGCTCGGACATTACATTATAACCTTTCCACATTCAGCTTCACAACATCCTCTTATAGACAGCAAATCCTAGGATGCATACCACCACTCTACCTGTATATATGTGTACACCGTATGGTCTTCCTTACACGCTGATCCGAAATCGATAAGCTTCAAATCCGCTGACCGAAAACTAACGCAAATAAAATCCAGCCAAATACATGGATTAGCTAGGCGCACGTAAACACATAGGTCGAACTTCTCAACAAGACCTGCAACAACATAAAGCTTCCAACAATACATGCACCACCCTTGCAAGACCACTGTCGTTCCAGCAAAAACTATGAAAGAAACCTCAGCTACCAATCACAACTGCATGGTCGAACACAAAAAACTCCGCTTTCATTCGAAAACGTCTACATCGCCAGAAATAAACAGGACACGAAACTTCAACAACGCGGATATGTCAGCTCAATCCACAATGGTCCAGTTCCCACCCCTCTCCGTCATCTGTGAATCGCTGAAAAACCCAACTCGCCTAAATCCACCCTACCATTCGCGTAAATCGGGCACAACGGTACTCACAACCAACAAGTACATGATAATTACCTCTCAATAAGAAGAATGTTCTCTGGCTTCAAATCACAATGTATTACTCTAGCTTCCCGCAGCAAACTCAGAGATTTCAGTAACTGTACACACCCACAACTAAACTCATCAGCATACCCAACTCTTTCACATGCGGTCCAAATAAACCTGCAACCTAAAACAACTGGGGTCGTACAACTTCTTCTAACTACGACGTCCACGGATATCTTAATTTCAAGGAAACGCTCCAAGACATGCAGCTGTAAACGAACCATTTCACAAACCCAATGGGCGAAACGCAAGCTTCCGCCTTGCAAAACCACAACGTCTCGACCAAAAACAAAACACATAGTAACTCACACCACACATCCGCATTTCTGAACTGGCAACCTGTCTCAGCCCCGACAAGATTCATACCTGCTTGGTGAACATCCGCACCAATACAAGCGACATGCCCTTCAAACTCGTCTTCTTCAACAACTCGTACCTGCAGTACCATAACCCCCCGACAAGATGTAAGAAACAAATATACACATCGTAACTGAATCTACCACTAAACCAGCCATGAATGCCACGCTCTTTGTAAAACCTGCGAGTGAAACTGCACAACGTATCACCTGAGCCAAAAGATGTCATAGGGTGCGCCACTACTCTCATGCACACTAGGACTACACCCACTTCATATTTCTATTTGCCACCTAGAACCAACAAAACCAAATCCTGCATTTCACTGCGATCCCCCACTTTGAAGGATGCACTCACAAGTTCTCCGTAAGAAGCTCAAACACGATGCACAGATGCCCATGGTGTTGGAAATGGTCTAGGCTTCTAACGATGTGATACTTGTCATCTGGATCGTATTCTTTGTTCAGCTGTCAATCACAGTCAACAACCGCATGTCAGAGCAACTCTTTTCAATCAGGCATGCATCCACACGAATCCAGACCTTCTTCCCGTCCAAATCACATAAAGCTTGAACACCCTCCTAAGTTTCTTATTACGAACCGTGAGTCGAGAAGGTCCTAGATCACGGACTAACAACTGCCTATTTTATCCGAATATCCAATAACTCCTGAAAACCTGCCTATAAGAAGTTCACGCACTCCAACTGGCCTGATTTATCGTCGTCATGAAAATCTCCAGCCGTAATTCTAGCCCCTCCTAATGCCTCTAGCATTCCTCCAACTGATCCACCACAAACAGACTCTCCCAAGCTCTTCCAATCATAGACTCACAATTAAACTCAGAAAACGACGGGAGGAGTATCCGTGCATGAGTACCATGTGCAAAATGCCGATCTCGAACCGCGCTTGGGTGCAGTAAGCTGGAAGATTCTTTATCACCTTCACTGCAACGTACTCGTTCGTCTCCTCCGTGTAACATTTTGCCACCTGTCCGAAGGTACCTGAACCCACTAGATCTTTCACAACATATCTGCGAGCGCACCCACACCCACAGGCAAACACCACCCTCACGCGTTCAAAACCTCCCTCACATCAATTTGCACACTTCCTGTATGCACCAAGCACCCCAATGCCTCGTGCTCTGCCCAAAAGTTCGGCATTTCTGCCAGAACTTCGAATGTCCACGCGCCCTTCCTCCATCCAAAATCTACCGTGGTGAAACTGAGCATCTAAGTCATGCCCTAACCACGGACAAGCTGCACGCTCGAGCAGGACTAAACAAAAAATAACAAAACTACAATCATTTTCGTCCCAAGCATACCAATTCCTACCTGCGAGTGCCATCGTCATTCACTAGAACTTGATTGAAATACAGCACAAGATCATGCTTCTCATTGTCCAGCCCATTCTCAGAAACGATTGTCGATGGAGCAGTCAGGTATCGCTTCGGATTCAGATCCGGTGAAAATGCAAACTCGGGGTTGCAGTTTTGATAAGTTCCCACGATATCCTTCGTAAGCTTGTATGCCAACTGCGTCATCAACACGAAACATTTCGTCGCATTCATCAGCTGAATAAGGGTGACACAAAAACGCCCATGATAGTGACAACGTCCTCACGTGTATACAGTCGTATTGTCATCACGCTCAAGCTTATCTTCACAAGCCCTAACATCAGCTCGTAGGAATTGGAACAATGCATTGCTAGGGCCACCGACCGTCGACGACAGTAGGCTACTTAATCCAGAAACCCCAATTGCTCCAATTACAAAACACGTGACTTATACACTGAAGTGCAATTTCAAAACTTCGGAGCCAAGCCCCCAACATACACCATACACGGCTCCGGCCACTGTTGCCCTACTACGCATGCCAACCTATTCATTCAACGAGTCTATAACCCAGGAGCAGAGATGTACCGGACGGGTGACCTGAATGTGCAATCGCGGTGCACTGGCTCCAAAATGTTGCCTTGACGACGCTCTAGCCGGTGCATTGGCTCCACTACGCTGCCTAGAAACTCTCGGTGCCACGTACGGCCCGAACGAAAACGATCGGGGAAACCAATGGGACTGGGGCATCGGATACATAAGCCTGCGCTCCCTGCCATTAGAAACTCCCGAAATTGAGTCGTCGTCGTCGCTGCTGCAATCGCCACCCGACGATGGCGACCGTGCAGATTGTCGCACACCCACATCCATCATCGGCATGACTCCGCCCCTTCAACCCTACACCTCAATACTACCAACCCCACCACTCATAGTAGATTACAATTTCCGCACATCGACTCCCCCGCTTGTGCGACAGCCTGTTCACCCTCCCTCCGCCCGCTCCCCTGGGTCCCTTCCCCCGCGCTTCTCTTACTATTCGACCTTCGCAAAACCCTGACCGCACACCCAGCCAGGCTCAACGTGCATGACAAAATGGTGTTCCCGCAACAACCACACCACCTGGTCCACCACAGGCAACCCTTTCTCGATCCGCCACAAGCTCCTCCACTCCATAATCCGACCCTGTATCACCCCCACGCTGCCCTTCTCCCTCTGCCGCTCACACCTAAACTCCTCCTCGCGCCATAACCCCCAACTCCCCCGGCCACCCACACACCACCCCACTCACTGCATTGCCATTTCATTCCCACCCAAATCCCTCGCCACGCCCCCGCCACTCTCCACCATCATCTCCCCTCCTACACACACAACCTCTAACCTCCACTCCTCCGCCGCATGGTAGCGTCACCGCCCTTCTATCAATGCCATAAAACTCATCGAGAAACACCGCGAAGAACAGATACCACCCCAGGAACTCACTCACTCACTCACTCAGGTCGACCTGAAGGGGAGCGGCGTAACGAGAAAGGGGAAGAGTAGTGTAGAGTAGAGTAGAGAAGACGAGAGCGGAGTGGCGACGAGTGTGTGTCTAGAGTGTCTGGATTTGGAGTGGTGCGGAGTCCAACGCTTTGCGCGTTGGCCTTGTTGTTGGCCTTTGTTGCTATGCCTCATCGAGGTAGAACAATCAGCACCAGCATCGACAGCATCGGCATCTCTTTCATCGGATCATCGCCATCGCCATGGCCTTGGTCGCCGTGGTGGCTATGGCCCGAGCTCGTCCCCCTTCGTCCCTTTCATTGCGTCAGCACCGCATGGCCTACTTCTACGACTACCACTACTTTTCTCATCACCCCCTACGCTTGCCCTCCACACTCCTGGGCCCATTACAACTACGGCGCTTTTCTATGGCACTTGGCTTCGTGGGTCTCATTTCTCCCTCCCTCCCTCCCCATCTAGGCTGCTCAAGGTGATGAATTTCAGGCGCAACCGATGGCAGATTTGCTGATTTCAGCACCTGCATTCCAACTGATTCACACCCAACTACTCTACCTCAAAAGAAGAAGAAGAAAAATAAATAAATAAATAAATAGATAAATAAACATTAACCCACCTTGAAATAGAAAAGAATTCCACGTTGGAAAGAGAGGAAACGAAGTTGAGTGAGTATGTGGGTTATTGCTTTGGATTACAGGCAGTTGTTGTCGTTGTTGTTGATTTTGTTTTCTTTTTCTAGAAGTGGACCATAGGTTAGTTGAATCCTTCGACCTTCTTATTTACCTGAAAGAATTTGCTTGTGAATTATCTCACAAGAGCTACTGGTGGAGCCACCACTCCAGTTGCAATCAACACTAGCTATTCCACATGCTGCATACATAGTTTTGTCTGCTTCCATCTTGTTTTCCCTCTTCATTCTCCAATAATGCCATGTTTGCCAAAACATCACTTGGCTTTGTTCTTTGGAGAACCCATGTGCACATGTTCCTTTCATTTAGGTCTACTCCTACATCCACTTGATTGCTCACCACATTACACACACTCACATAAATCTATCTATATATATATAAAGAATGTAAAAAGAGTTAAGGATATGGTTGGTTGTGTGTTCATGCTACAGAAAGAAATGATGGGGATTATTTTATTTTATTTTTTAATAAAAGAAATTGTGAGTGAATGGGATCCCAAAAGCTACACGGAACCCCCATTACCTCGTCATTGACCAAACCATTCCTTTGTTTCTTTGGAATTCTATGCCCCATTTTGTTCATTTGCTGTGTAAGTATGAACGCATGTGTAAAAACTTGTCACGTGTACATATAAATTCTTGTAGAGTTATTCAAACAAAATCAGTATTCTTCATTGGGGGAAAAAAGGGGGGGGGATAAAAAAAGGAAAAGGAAAAGGAAAAGTTGTTTCTTTTGCTCAAGTTTTTGGTATAATCACATTGTATTTTCAGAAATCATCTATTTGAAGTCATTGCCATCTAATCATAGACACTGGTAGAATTGCCAGAGATGAAATAGACAGGATTGCATTTTTCTTTTACTTACGCAAGCGATATTAAGTATTAAACACAAATGACCACTCAATACTACTAATAATAATAATAATAAAATTGCATTTTTTTAAACCATGTATGCAAATTGTCTAAGGTTCTCGAAATGGAATGCAAAATCTACCCAGACTTTAAATAGATGATATTTTATTCTCCCTCAAATGTCAAGTTGAAGCATCCAATGAGTTGAATTGATTTAGTGAAAAAGCATAAGATCCAAAAAAAAATTTAGAAAATTAAAGGAGCTAAGTGGACCAGGTGCATCCAAATTGAATGAACTTGACTAGATGCTCTGAATCTAGAAGGCCCCAAGGCGCACATACACAATGTGAAAAATGTGCTAGAAATCTGGGCCTCGTCAGTTAAAATGGTGTGTATTCATATGTGGAACAAGTAAGCAAGTGTTGATGGAATTGCACATCTTATTAATGAGAGAAATATTGATTTTATATTGATGATGATATGAATGGAAGTCTTCGACATGAACCATGGTTTGATTATTGTTGAGAAATGAACATAAATGTAAGAAACTTTTGAAGTAAAAGTGTGAAATAGAAGACATCAAACATTATTATTTTCCATTGTAGATAAATTATAATGTTTCATACTTTTTCATATATTCACAAGCTTCAAGCATGTGGAAACATAGGTTGTCACTTCATTCACATGTACGGAACTTCAACCTTGATTTCATGAATTCTGAGAAGTATATATGAATATATATTTAGAGAGAGAGAGAGAGAGAGAGACACTGATATAATGTAAGATATTCATTTAAATCTTATATAAATTTGCTGTTGAAAATCCAAAAAATTTGTCAACAATATTTGTTATTTTTTATTTATTTATTTTTTGATGAAATTATCGTGATTTTTTAAAATTATATTATATTCTTTTGATTGGAAAGTTTTTTCTCTAAATTTTTAATACATATTTTATTTTATTTTATTTAAATGATAAAAACATATAAATTGCGTACTTGATAAAGTTTCAGAAATCATGGAAGGAGTGTTGTGAAGAACAAAAACAACTGGTTGGATGTAACTTAAATTTTTATATGTAAGTGTAGCACCAATATAAATAAAATATTTTACGTGCTCTATGTTTATATTAGAAAAAAAAGTATGATTTTGCTAAGAAATTTGATGAATATCTGTTTTTTTCATTTTTATTTAAGAATACAATCATATGGATGAAGTTTACTGTAACTAATCGTTGTGAGAATAAAAGCATTAAATGTATAGAATGATTACAAGCTAATGGTTGTATATATATATGAAATCAAGGGATTGCATTAATAATTATGTAAAAATCCTATCTATGTACAAAATTTGTCTTGAAGAAGAGTAATCTATTGAATACTAGGATAATTATATGATCTACAATTAATTTTCAAAAACTTTAAATATTATTTATGAACTAAAATCTTGAAATTATTTTAGCATGTATAGTAGATATATATATATATATATATATATATATATAGTGCTTCTGCAGTAAGTTTCATGGCATATTGATATAAATTGATCACTTATAAACACACACTTGTATTATAATATTTAATATTTTTTAGTTATAATATTCATCAAAAACAATAAAATATCTTTTATAAATAATTGTCTTTAAATATCTATTAATTTATATTATTAATTTTTTCAAAAAGGTTTTACTTTCAAGGTTTATAATAGAATGAATTTGCAAATCATGCTATTTTCATTAGTACAATATGCAACTAATTAAATTGTGTATTGAATCTGCTAATTAATTAAATATTTTACATTAAAATTAATAGAATTATATTACTAAGAAATATCAATAAAATTTAATAAAATATTTATTTAAAAATAAATTTTATTTTTGTATTATTGATATATATTGGATATTTTTTTTAAAATATAGATATTATAGAAATTATTTTTTAATTAAATTAATCAATAAGCATTTCTTAACATTCTCTATTTTATTTTTTTTGTGATTCATGTGCTTGTATTTTATTATATTATATATTATATATTATATTATATTTTATATATTATATTATATTTTATATTTAAAAATACAAATATTTTTAAAATTACAAAAAAAGATAATTTTAAATAGATTTCATTATATCAAATACATATAATTAGGGAGTTATTAACGCTACACTTCCTTGCCATTTTATGATTAATTTTGTCTATCATATGCTTCCAATCTCCTATTTTTCGTTCTTAGTCCCATGTCTCTTATTCCTAACCATGTTCCTTGACCCTATTCCTAGTTCCATGTCCCTTATTCTTAGCCATGTTCCTTGTCCCCTATTCCCATTTCTATATCCCTCATTCCTAGCCATGTTCATTGTCTCTCGTTCTTAGTCTCAAGTCCCTTATTCCTTGCCTTGTTCTTTGTCTTCCATTTCTAGTCTTCTATCTCTCATTCTTAGCCTTGTGTCTTGTCTCTAGTTCATGTTTCTGTTCTTAGCATCATCTCTCCCATCCAAAACCAACATGTTTAAAGGGTTATTCCAAATAAATATTTTAGATATTAATTAAGAAAAATTGTATATGTCACTTAAAGAAAATTCTAAAGTATTATTAAAAAATTATTGGCAATAAAAAAATGCTTTAATTTTCATGCTTTGTTTCAAGTTTCTTCAATAATAATTAATATACTTATGTAAAATATAAATATGGATGAAAAAAGCTAAATCAAAATCTTAATTTATTTAATTTTAAAATATAATATTTATTTAGATTTTTTTGAAAAAAAAACTAATCTTAAAAAATATCACTATTCATTCAAAGTCAAAAACATTATTATATATATATATATATATATATATATGTGTGTGTGTGTGTGTACATATATACATATATTTTATATCTTAATAAAAATTTATCTTTTAAAATTTAATAAATTTAAATTTTATTTTAACTTCTCCCACTTACGTTTATATTTCATATAAGTATATTAGCTATTGCTAAGAAAATTCAAAAAAAGTATTGAAATTAAAAGCATGTTTTCACCACCAACAATTTTTCAATGATACTTCAAATTTTTTCTTAAGTGACATATAAAATTTTCCTTAATTAATTTCCAAAATGGTCAGAAAATCTCTTTAAATAAAGTGGTTTGAGACATGAAACATAGGAGGGGAGGAGGAAGGGAGGTTTAAGAGAGTGAATATGGGACTAGAAACATGGGACAAAGGCGATGAATACACATAATCGATCGATCATGA